CATGCACTTTGGACAAAATGGGACAAGGGGAGTTGGGCAATACAAGGTCTTTCTTTTTGCTTGGAGACAGACAGAGTTCAATTTCAGGTCAATCTAATTCACATCGCCTTTTAGCCTATATTTAATACAACAGTCCATTATTGTATCTCTGATATATTTCATAGCTGTTTGTGAGAATTTTTTCATGTATTTTTTATTTTAGTTACAAAAGCCGTTTTTCAAACATTTAACCCTTTAGGCGCCAGAGTTTTTTCAAGAAAATATACAATTTTGATTTCAAGATTTCAAAAGGCTATAACTTTAAAATGGTTTGAGATAAAGGCATACTGTAAATTAGAAATATCTTCAGTTTGAACCAAACTTTGGGATGGAAGTTGATTCGTCATCTAATTTGCATATTGTGACGTCATCAAGGTGGCGGCCATTTTGGAAAATGTTAATTATTGTATAAAAACTTAAAAAAAGCTGTAGCTTGGGAGTTTTTTTTAGATCAGGAAATACTATAAACAGTCAGTGTGAAATATCTTTAGTATGAAATGAATTTGGGATAGAAATAAATTCCCTGATCCAGATTATAGATAATGTTTTAGCACTGGTTCACGGCCATACAGAATTGTATTATTTTCATAGACCTTCAGTGATCAAGACAGCTCTCTTTATAGTTTACAGTCATGAAATCTGGAGTTTGGTTTCAATATTTCCCTTTCAAAGAAGTGGTGGGCATACTATTTTTCTCGGTGGAAATGAGGCTCCTGGATTTATGGTTTAGAAACAGAGAGATGAAATGAATGGGCTCAGAACATGTCAGATCGTCTCAACAAGAAACAACAGGCTCTTCAACACTTCTGATCCACTTTTGTGGATTATTTTCTCTCAAGAACTGCCTTGATCCTCATCATCACTGTTGGTAAAGGCAGTGAACGCGAAAAGCGATGTGTTTTATTCCCGCGGCTCTCCCGCGTCTCCCGTGTTCCCCGTGGATGTTTACCCCCGCTACTTTCTCCCACATGCCCGGTGTTATGATGCCCCTGTACCCTCGCCTCGACCACAGCCCCTGCTTGGCGTTCACAGAATGCTTCTACCGCGGCCACACGGAGGACAAGCAGCCGCTGCACAGAGGCTGATTGTGGACTATATGGCGCGCGGTCTCCCCGTCACTAATAATGTCTGTGTCTGCTTCACTGGACACCTGCGTGTCTTCCTCCTCTGAATCTGAGTGAGCCAGTACCAGACCAAGTACTTCTCTGGTACTGAAGACCTCGTGAGTAAAATAAAAAACACTCTCTCCCTCTGCTCTGCTCTCGCTCCTCTCAGCTCTACCGCTGCTGCTTCGCCTCCGCGCCGCTGCGCCGCAGGTGTTTTACGAACTCAATTTACTCAAAAACTTTCAATATAACCACACCCACAAATGCTGCTCATATTACAGGCACACATGTCCACTAACCCCTGGTGAAAAGTATTAACAAGATTCTGCACCACATTTTTACATACAGCCTGTTTAAGTGAGGGGTTAAATTAGAATCTGTTAAAAGTGATTAATGATTGTAGACTTCGTCTAAAAAAGAAAGAGGGAATTAGGCTGTAAAAGTATTATATTATTAAGTTAAACTACCCAATTCACATGCAAGTGGTGACTTTTGTTTTTGTTTTGACTACACGCCTGACCTTGTTGCTCCTGCTGATGCCACAGCAGAGGAGACTGGTCTAAAATGTGCTCCAATTCATACTGACTTCATTTGAAAAATGCTGCAATTATTTTAAATTAGTAAAATAAATGATGAGATAAATGTTCATGGATAATTAATCACACAGTACAAAAGTATATAATACATAGTTTAAAGTTTAAAGTTTTTTTTAGATTTGAGTCTTGTTTTTTTATATTAAGAGTTTCTGGTTTTAAAATGTCATCATTAGTAAGATAATAAGTAATCTTTTATTTACATAGCGCTTGGGAAAACCCAGAGCGCTCCAAAATTGTTTTGACTTTAGGGAGAAAAACAATCTCATTTGCATACTGATATCTATTGTTTTTTTAAATTGGCCGTCTCAAGGATTGTTTTTCAGACTCTGCCTCACTGTACGAGAGGTCACTGCTGGACACTGGACAGCGCAAAGCCCACCCAGCCACAGGTCACAGAGCTAAGAGCAAAGGGAAATGCCACCTCCTTGCCCCTCCCCCCACTACAGAAGTAAGTGGGAGTGAGACCGGGGCCATGAAAGAGAGGTATCTGGAGACGTGATGGGTGGAGCATCAGGGAGAGACCTGGAGGAGAGTTGAAAGTGTGTCCAGTTGGTTTGCATCACCACAGTGTGACCTTTGACACCTACAGGTGGTTCGAGGAGTCTGGAGAAACAACCCCAAAATTCACATACACACATACACACACATACACTCACACATTCACATTTACATATAGATACATGAAAAAGCAGAACATGAGAAAAAAGCATTTTAAAAGTTTACTCCAATGTAAACACATATTTTTAATTGTCTATCACTTGAATCTTTAGTTGAATCTGTATTTTTTGAGACCAGAAATGTTCATTTGAATTCTATATTGTCATGGAGATAATTGATCTCTGTCCTGACACTTTTGATTTGTTGATTTTGTACTGTGTGAAGTAATTACATTGATGAGAATTAGATCTGATAAAAACACAAATTAGAGAAGTAAACTGAATCATTGCGCTTGCTTTTGTCTGAGGGACAGAAGCAACAGCATGAATAGAAATTGATTAGGATTAGAATCAAAGTGACTTAACCATAGAAAGTAACTATTGCATTACAAGCTGTGTACAGGAACTGTGAGACTGCACCATTGACCAGAAGTGCATCGCAAATGACCTGATGTGCTTCAACTGAAAAGACTGTATCTGGAGATCCGATGTCCAACTGGAGTGACCAGAACCATGGCTTGGACCCTACTGATGTCCAAGATGACATCTCTATATGACCTGACCTGATGACGACTGAGACTCACCCTCAGGGGACCTGAGGACCTGAGGACCTGAGGACCTGAGAGAGAAAAACTGGGGAGTGATGTTTATATTATTAAAATCATGCTATTGATGAGTGCTAAATGAGAGAGATACTCATGATTCTTTCTTTTGTTTTTGTTTGTCCCTAGCTTCTGGACATCTGATGATCTATTGGACACAGACATTTGCAGAACAAGAACCAGCCAATGAAAACGTCTATTGCCGATGCTATTGCTACAACCAGAACCACAACTGTGGCAAATGCAATATACATGTTAAGTATTCAGACATCTGACAGACAAAAACTTTGAAAATGATAAAGTATGAGTATTGTAGTGTTTTATTAGATGTCAAATAGTAGTAAACGAGTAGAATTTGACTTCCTTTGTTGTTCATAAACACATTTCCACGTAAGAGTTAAAATAGTACCCTACAATGTTATCCTTTTGATAGATCAGCTAAAATATTAGAATCAGAATTATGTTACAGATATTGAAAGTGACAGAAGTCACAAATTAGAAATATGCCTTTGCTCAAGCTGCAACCGAGCTTTGGAGTTAAACAATAGTGTAGAAATAGAATTAGATAAATGCATCAACCATAGATGCTTTCAGAAATAGAGATTAGAGAATCAAACACCATTGTAGAATAACTGACCCCAACCCCAAACCTGCTAAAATAGATTAGCTCTTGTAAGGATAATACTAATTTGATTAATGATGTACATTCATCCCAAACTGCCTGACAATAATATCTTGAGATAATAAAAAGTAATAAATCACTGACCACTATAGAAGTGTAAATGTTGACCATTTGCCTTACTGTGTTCAGTTTTATTCCTGAGAATGAGAATAGATGGAGCAAAATCCCACTGATAATGAGAGTATAAAACCACAGAATAGAGAGATTTATTAGATTAAAATGTATGTTTAAGAATATGGCTCAATAGAATCAAATATGCAAACATATTTGTAAATAGATTAGAATAGTTTTTAAACTATAGTGAATAGTGAAAGTAAAGTACACAGTCTAAGATTGAAAAGTGAAAATAATAAAGTGAAATAAGTGTAGTGTAAACAATTAGCATTAGAATAAAAGTATAGAGTAAGAAAAGTGAAATTAGCTTCAAATTGAGACTCAGCTCGATTTTTGTCTGTGTTTTGACTGAATCTGCTGAGTTCTTGTGTGTCCAATAGTTTTTGTTTGTTTTTATTTTTGTTTGTTTTTTGTTTGTTATTTTTTCCCAGTATAGAGGATAAAATCCACTGATATTGATTTGATGATTATGAGTTTAATGCATACATTTTCTTTGTTTTTAATAATTTTTTGAAGTTTTTTTTTGGATTTTTTTTTTTCTTTTTCCACTTTATTGATTGATCAAATTGAATGATCACATGTGATTATGTGATCAAAGGGGAGGGTGTTAGTATTAGATAGCAATATGGCCTACGTGCAGGACTGTACAAGGACTCTACAAGGACTCCATGTTATGACTATGATGTGACTGTCTCTTTGTGACACGTATGTCTTTCGATGTGTGACGTGACAATGACTATATAAACTGTGTACTGCCTTTATTCTGTCTGAGAGAAAGAAACAGAGTAAACCATTGGAACTTGAGAGAAACTTAAATAAACTTCCAGAGTTTGGCACACCACGATCTCTCTGCTCCAGGACAAGCTCTCCCAGCTCAACGTGCCCGATTCCACCTGCAGGTGGATCACTGACTTCCTGACAGACAGGAAGCAGCGAGTGCGTCTGGGGAAGAATGTCTCGGACTCTCGGACTATAAATACAGGAGCCCCACAGGGCTGTGTTCTTTCTCCCCTGCTCTTCTCCCTGTACACCAACCACTGCACCTCCAGCCACGACTCCGTGAAGCTGATCAAGTTTGCAGACGACACCACCCTCATTGGACTCATCTCCAACCCGCCTAACCCACCTACAGGAGGGAGGTGGACCGGCTGGTGTCCTGGTGCAGTGGTAACAACCTGGAGCTGAACGACCAGAAGACAGTGGAGATGATTGTGGACGTCAGGAAGAGCACTGTTCCCCCGCCCCCACCCTCCGTGATGGACTCCCCCATCACCTCTGTGGAGTCCTATCGTTTCCTGGGCACCACCATCACCCAGGACCTCAAGTGGGAGCCGACCATCAGCTCCCTCATCAAGAAGGCCCAGCAGAGGATGTACTTCCTGCGGCAGCTCAGGAAAGCCAAGCTGCCTGCACAGATGTTGGTGCAGTTCTACACGGCCATCATCGAGTCCATCCTCACCTCCTCCATCACCTCCTCATCACCTCCTCCATCACCTCCTCCATCACCTCCTCCATCACCTCCTCCATCACCTCCTCCATCACCTCCTCATCACCTCCTCCATCACCTCCTCCATCACCGTGTGGTTCTACAGCGCATCGTGCGCTTTGTAGAGAAGGTGATTGGCTGCAGCCTTCCATCGCTGCAGGACCTGTACGTCGCCCGAGCTCGAGGCCGGGCTGGTCGTATCACAGCCGACCCCTCCCACCCTGCACATGGACTATTCCAACCACTCCCCTCAGGCAGGAGGCTGCGGTCTATCAGGACTAGAACCTCCCGCCACAAGAACAGTTTCTTCCCCTCTGCTGTTGGACTCTTGGACACTTGAACACTTCTTAACCTCCCCGCCCTCTAGAAGTCCCCTACTGCTCTTTATAAAGTCAATTTACTACCCTTTATAATGTCACTTTATGTAACTCTATTTTAATTTCTATTTTAAATTTATTCCTTAGAAGTGTTTTTTATTCTTTATTCTTTATTCTCTCTTTCTGACTGTTGCACCGAGCAAGCAATTTCCAAGTCTGTGACCTCCTGTTACTTACGTGGCAATAAAAATGATTCTGATTCTGATTATTTAGGTTTGAAAAAACGTATCAATAATTATCAATATCGACTGACACTTGTTTTCAGCCATATCGCTCGGCGCTAGTTTCATTGCACTATTTTAATTCATGCTGTAGTTTTACGAGCAGGTTTTAACTACTGTACAATAGAAGTGAATCCATCCAATCTTTCCCGGTTTGAAAGGAGAGTACCAACCCGAGAGTATGAGCTAAAAATAAGTCTTAAAAGTGCAGCCCCAGTCTCTGGTTCCTTTGTGAAAATAGGACACAAACTAAAAAGGTTCGTAATGTACGAAAACACTTGATGAGATAATGTGCAATTAGATACGTTACATTAAACAAATGTATGATATAGATATAGGATTTATACATTTATTGGAATGCACAGAACATAAGGAAATCAATGTAGGAGTCCAGGACCTGCCACAGTGACCTCCAAAAGCTAAAGAAAGATCAAAACCTGTCTTGTATATTTTAAAAAGGAACTTGGCCATTACGGTGCCGAAGTGTCTGGCAAACAGGCACAAGACCAAGCACCCCCAGGCTTTCACATCTGAAGCACCAACTCAGCAACTTTTTACAGTCTCGCATGAATGTCGACTACTACTAACAAGGCACTTTCTCTGCTCCACAAGGCTGCAGCTGTTCACAAACCCCAAAATGTAATATTCTTGAAGTTGTTATGACTGCAGAAGCTCTGTGTAAACATGTTTAAATGGAAGTTTACATGTGACAGCTTAAAACAGGTGCGTTACATTTAAAAAGGCAGCAAAGTCCAGACATGCTCTCAGCCAACAGAGCAGAGGTGGAGATATCTCAAGGTGAACTCACTCATATGCATGCATGGTGGTTGGTTGGTTGGTTTTAGTGTATTTAAATAAAGGTTTATTCAAGAATGATATATTTTTGCATGACATTAGCCTTCTGAAAGACAGATGATGGTAATGTGCTATCAATATATACAATTCCAACAAAATCATGGTTTTTGCCTGAATAAAAAAAGAGCATTGGTGTGAGCATAGTAATCTGCATAATTTACTATCTAAGAGCTTTCTTTTGGAATACAATATTTTTATGAATGTTTGATTTGAAATTAGGAATTTGTTTTGAATAATTTATCTACTTCCCCAGCAGCAGAAAAAATGGACTGATCCATCTCAGCTGCTTTGTTTGAGCTTTTATACCTCCTCAAAGTTTATCACTATTTTTCCGAAGCGTTTTTCTTTTAGAGCCGTTCCTTGCCGATGCAGGAAGGTCTAAGAACAGTGATGAGTGTTTCAACTGTTTGATTCTCTGATCCGTTGTTGGTGAACTGACTCCTCCGAGGCGACTGATGTTGGGATTTAGGGCTATACAAAATTACATTGAAATGAATTTAAATTGGGTCTTTTAGTAGTACATGCCCTGTGTGACTTGTGATTCATAGCTCCATCATGTGATGTGTCTTTCTTGCTACAGTACTCCAACCATTATCGGCCATTGTCCATAACCACAACTCTCATAAGTGCTTTGAAAACAAGCAGGCTTCTTCTATAGAGAGCACTGAGGAACATATGCTTCTCTCTATTGTGTTTGATATGCTCCTACAGGTCCACCACACCAGTGCCTTATCCCATTGCCCTAATGGTACCAGACAGTGCGGCATTTGCACAGAGCAGTAAAATCATCAGCTCTGCATCGGCCGCGCTTCATCCTAGCTCTCCATGACCTCCCTGTGTCAGCACCATCACAATAGCTGTTCACTGGAGGAGATTGGAAGCAGGTGGCCACATCACACATGCGTATACTTGTAAGGTTTCCACCAGTGACTTGGCAAAGATACCAAAGAGGAAAACGAGCAGGAGGACAATGGATGATGATGAGTGCTGAAAGGGGAAAAAGAGCCACTGCTTTCAACATACATGACATGTCTCCGCTGCATGGGAAGTAGCTGAGAGGTGCAGAGAGGTTGGCCTTTTATATACATTTTTTTGCAGAGGGAATAAGGGTCTAACTAACAATTATTTTAACCTATTATGTGTCAAGACTGTGAACATTTTTCAACAAATATGTCAAGGTTAAGGCTTGAGTAAAGCCACTTGCTCATCCGTAAATGCACATATGTTTCCTCTGTCAATTATAGGGATTTTTAGCTTTGTTTGAGTGATAAAACAAACACCCAAGCCTAAAAACAATCATATACAAGTTGTACACAAATTGTAAATGTGCCAAATCCGTAATCCCGAGGCAGGTCACACAATAATAATAATACAAAAGGACAATATACAAATATAGAAATTACAGTTAGTTAAAATGAGTGCAGGACTGATTTACTTTAAAATGGTGTTTTAGTTGTTGTTTAAAAGAGCTATATGTTGGGCATTCTCTTATGTCTGTAGGAAGGTTGTTCCAAGACTGACCTTCTCTGACCGACAGCACAGTTTGTCCAAATGTTGCTTTTCTGTCTCTTTTTATGGGAGCTGCACAAGTGGATTTTAATTGTCAGTGAACACTAGTGATAAAAAGGCCTCAAAATATAATGTTTTTTGATGTTTTGATGAAAATGTTGACTGTAATGTGGAAATCCATCAAAACTGTGATAAATCTCTAAATGAGATAATTTATAGATTCACATTGACCAATAAACAACAGTAGAGCAGAGACCTTTTGCTAGAATCTGGTTGAACTCAGAATTGTGGAGTGATTTTACTCTTCACCCAAGGGTTTGAGTAAATGTTTTTCACATGTCAGTATGCTCATAGATGATAGAAACACTATTGAGGACCAATCTCTACAGCCAGGTCTAATCCAGACTCAACCCTGGTCCAGAGAAGAACTGAACCTAAACTATTGTCAGAGACTGAAAACTGCTCTCAAAGTAAACCTGAAATTACCCCAAACCTAAAGCAAACTGGCTTCTAGCAACAGGCCTCTGGTATTTTAACAACCTTTAGCAGTCATTTTGCACAACAGGCCAGCAAAATGAAAATGATCATACATTTTGAAACAGCCAATGCATCAGTTTACTTTTTTATCCTTGAAACATTGCCCACCGATACCCATCTTAAAGCCATGGTGCTGGTAAATAAAATCAAGATGAAATAGAGTAATTTAAACGTTAAATAATTCTAATTTTGACATGGTACTAGACATTGATTGGCCTCTAAATATAGACAACACCAATGCAATCAAATAGAAGGCTAGGGAAAAGTCAGACACAAGCTTAAAAAAAATTCCATATGTGTGAAGATTTACACCTCCATGACCAGTGTGACGGACAGTGCGCTTCAGCTCGTGGGAACAGAACCGTAAATCAGACAAACGCTTGTGAAACATCTTCATAAGTACAAGTCCAGCTGCGTCCACTGCACTCCTACGACAGGTGAGGTCAGCGTTCTGCTTCTAATGCAATGATCTCATGCAAAACAATTCAAAACGTATTAGTTCTCAATGCAACTCAAATTAGGACAGAACAGGGCAGATCTAGCAACAAGTGCAGTACAACAAAATATGTCCAAATGTGACCATAAGTGCAACAGACTGGACACATGGTCTTTAAAAAGAGACATCTGGGAGGGCCGGCACCAGGATTCTTTACAGCAGCATGTTGTTTGCATTAGCATTGGCAACATCTCCTTTGTTGTATGAAGTAAATGACATAAATACTTCCAGTGCAGAAGTAACTTGGTATCAAAGTGCTGCCCCAGTCTCATATGTATTTCACAAAGGTTTTCATGGTCGTCCAGGATACATTATGGATGAATAATGCATGGACAAAATATAAGTTATGGTACCTTACCACACTCTCTATCGGAAATCAACTTGAATGGAGTCACATTTAATCAAGAAATAATCGGCTTGGAAACAAAATAACAATTAAGTGTAAAATAACTTGAACAAATATTTCAAAAGTAAAATATCATGAAGAAAAACAGATCACAACATGCCATTCTACTTGTATTAGATGAGCCCTGTGAGTTACTATTTGACTTTTTGGGCTGAGAGCAGTTGGCCGAGTGAGGATTTTTCACTTTTCTTTCTGAAAAAGCTGAAAAGCTGGGAAAAAAACGATGTGACAGAGGCCATAGATACAGTACATGAATAGAACTGTTTTGAGATGGAGGAGCTTCTTAAATCTAGTATAGCTATATGGATTCTGTTATATAGTTTCATGTTTTGTGGTTTGAAAGTTAGGTACCCAAGATATAAGATAAGTTTTTGAGAAAGATCATTTCTGATTTACACATGTCTCAGGATAAATGATGCAATATAAAAGAAAAATCCTACACTTGGTCGTTTCAAATGCGCAACCAGCCCGCTTTGAACGTCTTTGCAGCTTTACAGTTTTAAACAGTATTGTCTAGCAGCAGATTACAGTACCCTGTCCCTGGGTTAATCACTTACTATTTATTCAACAAGTGTATACCTTTTCTTTATCTAGTCAAACACAGAAGCTTGGTCTAAACAACATCTCCCTGTGTCTCTGGCAGAAGAATTGTCCCCAGAGATAAGAAAAAGAAAACATCTTACACAAAACATCCGACCTCTTCCTGAGAAAAGCTCAAGTCCAGACAAACAATGAGAAACCCCAAAAATGCCTCCACAATCAGCCACCTCCATGTGCGAAAAGCAAACATGGCCAGGTCAGAACACACTAACAACAAACAGTGCTTACCTCCTGACGTGTCCCTGAGAAAAGCTCTGGACTGGGCCTGATGCTATATGTGGCAAATACAAATATCCTTTCTGCTGGAGTTCTACACAACAAGACTGCAGTGTAGACCAAAAAGAAAGACAAAAGAAAATTTTATCTCAGCGAACCACAATAGAAGAAACTGTGTAATAAAATCCTTGTCACTAGTTTTTGTCGATCTCAAAACAGATTAATTCCATCAGTTCTTTTCTCATGTATGTACAGTGCCTTGCGAAAGTATTCGGCCCCCTTGAACCTTTCAACATTTCGCCACATTTCAGGCTTCAAACATAAAGATATAAAAAATTATTTTTTTGTCATGAATCAACAACAAGTGGGACACAAGTGAAGTGGAACGAAATTTATTGGATAATTTAAACTTTTTGAACAAATAAAAAACTGAAAAGTGGGGCGTCCAGAATGAAACCAAAATCGAACTTTTTGGCCACAATGCAAAACCATATGTTTGGCGTAAAAGCAACACAGCTCATCACCCTGAACACACCATCCCCACTGTCAAACATGGTGGTGGCAGCATCATGGTTTGGGCCTGCTTTTCTTCAGCAGGGACAGGGAAGATGGCTAAAATGTATGGGAAGATGGATGGAGCCAAATACAGGACCAGGAAGAAAACCTGTTGGAGTCTGAAAAGACCTGAGACTGGGACGGAGATTTATCTTCCAACAGGACAATGATCCAAAACATAAAGCCAAATCTACAATGGAATGGTTCACAAATAGACGTATCCAGGTGTTAGAATGGCCAAGTCAAAGTCCAGACCTGAATCCAATCGAGAATCTGTGGAAAGAGCTGAAGACTGCTGTTCACAAACGCTCTCCATCCAACCTCACTGAGCTCGAGCTGTTTTGCAAGGAAGAATGGGAAAGAATTCCAGTCTCTCGATGTGCAAAACTTATAGAGACATACCCCAAGCGACTTGCAGCTGTAATTGCAGCAAAAGGTGGCGCTACAAAGTATTAGCGCAAGGGGGCCGAATAATATTGCACGCCCCACTTTTCAGTTTTCTATTTGTTAAAAAAGTTTAAATTATCCAATAAATTTCATTCCACTTCACGATTGTGTCCAACTTGTTGTTGATTCTTGACAAAAAAAATAATTTTTATATCTTTATGTTTGAAGCCTGAAATGTGGCAAAATGTTGAAAGGTTCAAGGGGGCCGAATACTTTCGCAAGGCACTGTATTTTTGGTCACATCTTCAGATCAGCCACCCCCAATCAGCTTATTATCACTCACCTAAAAAGCATCCCATAGTGACTCAAAGGGCATTCTTACAAGTATTACATGTTTTCTAATAAGACGAAGACGGCGTGTTGTGGTCTGATTCGTTCATACAATGTTACTTTTACAACACTCTTCTGTTTATAAAATCAAAAAGTTGAATACACCAACAAAAAAGTATCGCTGAAAACCTAATTCATTTTAAAGTTGTATCAAAATGGTATAATTGCAGCACCAAAACTGTTCAGAAACGGAATATTTCAGCAGCTTCAGTGACAGACTGATCCAACCCTGCTGTGTGCTGCGGCTGCTGTCAGACTGTACAATGAAATATCTATATATATATTCAAATACACATATTGCTGATATTTTGCAGCATGTACAGCTATTTGACAAGTATTTAGAGCTATTTATATTTGTATATTATATATTCTGTATAATTTGTGTGCTCTTACTGTCATGTAGGGGCACTACAAAACTGAAACCTCCCCAATGTGGGACAAATAAAGGTTCTTTTCTCTTAATATTGCTGTAATTGTGCACTGTATAGAGAGTACAACACTGAGATAATAACAATAGAAAGAGAGCTGGAGATTTCCGACGCTGAAATCTAAAAATGTTATACGCTAAACCAAGAGTTTGCACCCCATGGCAAGTTTTGAAATAATTACCCAAGACATAAACCGGTATTTTATGATCTAAACCAATTCCAACAAAATCAAGGTATCACCGAAACACATTGAAACTATATACTGTACACAATTCCAAACTTTTATGTCCTTTACCATATGATGTCAACACAGCCCGTAGCCCTAATTACCATATACTTTTACAGAGTGCATACTTAGCCGCAACACTCTCGTGACTCCAGCCTTCAAAGCAGCGTTTCCCTCCAGAGAGCCTTTTAACAACCAAAAGACCCCCACCGGGAGTCTCTGCCAGCCACAACACAACAAGTACACACCACTTTTGTTCAGTCAATGCACAATCTTTACAAACATCATATAGTGTACTCTTGTATGTATTCCTTTGGGGCATCCCTTGTCCAAACCAATCCACGAAAGTCATTTAAATACTGTATAATGAAACGCACATTGATAGAATGCATGCGGTTGAAATGAACACTCACCATACTGGCAATGTGGTCCTTTGAAGCCCTCGGGACAGTGACAGAGCTGCTCCCCACTGTCTGTGCAGCGGCCTCCGTTAAAGCAAGTCTCAGAGTCACATCCTCCTGAAAGAAAAACAAAACTATAAATGAAGAAGTGTTTATAGTAGTAGTAGTAGTAGTAGTAGTAGTAGTAATAGGAGTAGGGGTGGAAGAACTAGTAGTAGAAGTAGCAGTAGTCGTAGTATTGTGATAGTGTTAAGATAAATAGTTTGAATGTTATCGCAATGCATCTCACTCAATACAATCTACCTTATTACATCTTTTGCATACTTCACAGAAATTTTAAAAAAATGCATGTGTAAACTAGTGATAGAAGAACTGTTGTCGAAAAACAGCACAGTACCAGTAACGGTAATTTGGATTCTATCAGAGTTCAATTTTCATTTGTTTGAAAGTTAAGCATTACTACTGCTATTGCAGAAGTAATAATAATAATAATGCAGTTTTACATGCTTTTTTGGACACTCAAAGACACTTTACATTACATTATTTTTTCACTCCATACACAGCGGTAATAAACTACTACTGTAGCCACACCTGCCCTCAGCTGCCCCACTGTGGCACCTGGTAGTGGAAGTAGCGGAAGCAGTAGCAGTATAGGAGTGGAAGTAGTTATAGTAGTAGCAGTAGAAATGGTAGTAGTAGGTGTGAGAGTGAAAGTATGGAATAAGTAGCAGTCGCATTAGTAGTAGTAGTAGTAGTAGTATTAGTAGTAGTAGTAGTAGTAGTAGTAGTAGTAGTAGTAGTAGTAGTAGTAGTAGTAGTAGTAGTAGTTCTTTACAAAACATGACTTACGATGCAGGCAACCCACTTCCCCACCCTTCCGACTCCATCCAGGGCAACACTTGTAGGCAGTGTGGGCTTGCATGTTGTACATCTGCTTGTATCCGGTGTAGTATGTCGTCCTGAAAACACGATATTATACTTAAAATGATGTGATCAAGCAGAATGCATTTGAAAGCTATGAAAGCTATGGCTCTTACCTCCTCTCGTATCCCACACACCACTGATGTCCAGAGCAGCCCTGCTTCCACACTTTGACCAGTCGGGTATAAGCCTGAACACAAGGCTGCTGAGAGCCCACCATAACCATCTCCTGCTCGCCACAGACGTTTGGCCTGTGCAAAGATGTTTAGTGCAGATTATAAAAAGAATTGCACACGTCACAGTCATTTGGCATTCAGGTCTTGCAGGCTAGACAGATGAAACTTGAAAAAATGACATACAGCTCAATAGTCCATTTACCTCCTATCTTTTCACAGATAAAGAACAGAGAGCTTTAAACAAGGTGCTCCGCTCTGCAAAGAGGACCGTGCGCTGTGAGCTTCCTGTTCTGGAGGTTCTTTATAAATCCAGACTTTTAAACAAAGCTCTCAGGATTGTCAATGACTCTTCTGGCCACCCTGGGAAAGCCATGTTCCAGCTTCTTCCCTCTGGCAGAAGATATTGCTCTCTGAGATGCAGGACATCTCGTTACGCTAACAGTTTTTATCCACAGGCTGTTATCAGTGTGAACAGAGCACTTTAATGATTTGCACTTGTTTTGAAACTGTTTTAGTCGATCGATTTCACAGTGACATTTGTTTACTGTTTTATTTGTTTTATTTTTGTCTTTTAATGTTGTTTTATGTCTGTATTTGTCTGTGCAGACTGGAGACTTTTTGCTAATGTATTCCTATGTGTTTTTTTTTACTGCAAATGGCAAATAAACTGAATCTGAATCTGACCTCTGTAATTCAAATAACGATGTGAAACTAATATATGACAAATATGACAGATATATCAAGATTGTTTGTATTACAATGTTGATAATAGGCTCACAGCATGCAGAAAATCTTAATATTTTGAAAATGTACTGTAAGCCATAATCATGAAAAGTATAACAAACAAAGGCTTGGCATATGTCACTTGTAATGAGTCTTAAGTTGTATGCTGATTGATTGATTATAAGATGAGCTAAAGTAAATTAAAATGAGGTAAATTCACTTTTCAACTTTATTCTAATTTTCTGATTTTCACATGAACATAGTGGAGAGGGATCTTTGTAAGAGAAACTGCATTATGAATGTTGCTGGATTTAAGCTATAACTTGATTGTTACAGGAGGATACTGAAATCTGATTACTTTATGACAGCTTTTGGAATTGATGGGTAGAATTAGGTTGTAACTAATGATTATATAGATAAATCGCTAAACTGAGAGACTGTTTTTTGGATTAATTGATTACAAGGTTGATATGATATAGTGTAAATTTAAGTATGTATAGCTGAGGTGAAACCACTAGAGAACGATGCAACAGAAGATATACATTTTCTGGCTAGCATTAATTCCTGATTATTTCTAATAATCTGAGTACTAAAATCCCACTCCACAATCCTTCTGTAATTCTTAATATAAATCAATGTTTCAATATTTTGCAATGGACATCCTATTGGAATGGACATCCTATTTCCACACACTGACTTGCCTTTGTTTTAGTTTGGTGTTAATCCTATAACCATACACAGCAAATTAGGAAAAAGAAAAAAAAAACAATTGAGCAAACTGGAAGCAATTATAAAGCCTCTACCCTATAATTTAATTGGAAACTGATTACCATATGTCTACAAACATGGAAAGAATTATGTTTTAGTGTCATAACAAGGCATTATAAATTGCACTGCATTTGTGGTCTGCATCTTGTTTGTTGTCAACATAGATATCCTTCTTAACAAGCATCTGGACTCAATACAGAGAACGCAGGACTAAATTAGTGCAAGTCTCAGTGGAAATGAGCTAAGTAAATTCAGTTGAAAATGCAGAGAAAATCAAATCGGCTCTTTGAATATAATTACCATTTCAATTGCATGCATACAAGTTTATTTATGACGCTTTAGATCTGAAAGAGCGACGCCTTGTGGACAACAATGGTTAAACTAGACAAATTCAGAATAATTGATTTACACGGGCTTGAAATCTTAAAATAACACATTTCAAAAGTGCAATGAACTGTTAGATATATGTTTTGGAACTAAATGAGGCGGAGTAGTGGTGTACTTACATGCCTGGTTGCAGCTCCAGAGATGACACGACGTGCAGAGTGCCTAAAGTCATCACACACAAAAGGGGGAAATGCGGGATCATATTTTAACCAGATAAGGAGACAGAGAGCTGGAGTTCGTTAGTGTCTGTCAAAGAACAGCATCGTGTTGTTCAAGTCCCCATTCATCACTAGCAAGTAGGCGATCCCCGCGCAGTGATATATCCCCGTGCAGTGCGGTGCGTGGATGCTCTGCTCTCATCGCTCCAAACTTTTTGAATGGCGAGTTTTTACGCACCACCCACCCACAGTCACACGGGGGCCACCCGGGCCACCCGGGCCAGATTCAGATGCAAACCATCAGTAATGCGCATTACTGTTATATTAAATAATAATAATAATAAATCTTTATTTGTAAAGCACTTTTCAAAAACAATGTTTACAAAGTGCTGCACAGTCAGCATAATAAACATTGCATTACGATGCTTCAAGATGCTGCAAACATACCCATGTTGTTGGGTTTTTTCCGTGATTTTTCCTCGAGACATGACAATGTTTATGGTCATATTATTTAGTGTAAATAACTTATATTGTGATTGTATGTGGTGGACGAACAAAGATGTCGGTGTTGGTCATTAAATCATTGTGTTGATAGATTATGATCCTTAAATGATTCATGATTAATGTTTACACATTTAGGAATACAATGCGCATAAAACAAGAAAATACAAAAAGTACTACATAAATATTAAAAATCTTGTCATTATTATGGCACGGTTACCCTAGTGCATGCCTTTAGCACAAATTACCCTCAAGACCACCATCATTCTAATTAAGGTTTAGAATTACCATTGCTGGTATTGTCGCTTACCATTGCTGGTATTGTCCGTTACCATTGCTGGTATTGTCGCTTACCATTGCTGGTATTGTCCCTTACGATTGCTGGTATTGTCTCTTACCATTGCTTGTATTGTCTCTTACCATTGTTAGTCCTGTATTTACTGTTGTCATATGTAACTCTGATGCGTTACTATGGTAACTCCACAATGTGAATACTCAAACTTTTCTGTGTTAATATAGTGCAGAAGTCGAAAGTTGTTGATAGCCCTGTCTCGCAAAGATGCACATTTTTGTTGTATACATATTATGGGGGTAGGATTAAAAGTTTTCTTCTTCCTACTCCCTTTCAGGCAAATATTTTGGTTTATTTTTTTTATTTTATTTTCATGCATGTTAGCAATGCTTTACTTATTTTTATTTTTTGTTGGAAACTATGATGAACAAGAGGTGACTGCTGCCTCATGTGAAATGCCTGAAATGAATAAATAAACAAAAACAAAAACAAAAAACAAAGGTAGTATCATGCTAATTGAATCTACTCCTGGTGTAGCACTAAAACAAAACATGTGTGAAGTATTTTCAAAGTCTGTTAAAACAGCATCAGAAAAACCTGGATCAGAAAAAAAATTACTTTGGAGAGCAAAAAATGTTTGCTATACCTCTATCGGGAATCACATGAACAACTTATTCTACAATTAGTTGAAGAATGTGGAGTGGAATATTAACACACGTATTCAACAAAACATTAAATGAAATACAGAAAACATTTAGAATTTTAGATTGACATATTTATCGTATGCTTTAGCTTATACATCTGTGGTCTTCTCGAACTGTGTGACTTTTTTCTCTTTCTACATGTAGTTTATTTCCATATCATTGCTTTGCTTGAATGAAATTATCTTTTATTTTTGAATTGTGAGGACTTATACCATTAACTCCCAGGGCAGTCACTTTAACTTATCTATTCTTACTTTTATTTTAAACATTTGGAATGCAGTCATTTTCAGTCGCTTCACAACCAACATTCTATGGCTGTTAAAGCCCCCTTTCTCCAATGTGCTGGTTCTGAACTGGTATGGACCATGGATGTGGTTTGGACTGGTTTTGGGCTGGTTCTGGACTAGTCTTGAATTGGTTTTGGACAAGTTCTGGTCATAGACTGTAAATATTAATGAACTATTATTCTCTTCTTCAATTTGGTTTTCCACCAGAGCAGAGCAAGTGCTTAGCAATTAACCTTTCAACAAACTGTTTATATTCACCAGTTTTAGCACGTATTAAGAGAAAACCTTGTAAAATACTTCCTTAAAATAAAAAAAAAATGTGAAAAACTTATTCATAAAAATTGTAACGTGGGTTGTTATACTACAGACATAAAAATAAATGTCTTGATATGTGTATGGTTATACTGTTCTATTATAAAACAAGAAGCCACTAGGGGGCAGACCTCGAATGTTGGCTTCATGCGAACTACTGTTTTCAAAATTCCGTTGATTTGAATGGAAGCTATACAAATGACTTCTCTGGTAGTTCTCGTGTTAATTACAACACTATAATTAATAATAAAACGCCAAATGACAATGAACCTAACGTCACTGATGACGTCACTTCCTCACGTTTCCAGGTTTCCCACTTCCTGTTTAGACTCGAGAGACAGAAATCACACCGAGCTGCAGCCAGTGCCTCGGTAGTGCGCCAATGGAACATGTTAAGCGGTCTGAACGGGTTTTAACGGGTTTATCCTCTCAGTTTTGTATATCCTAACTTGTATTGAACTTAGCGGTCTTATCTCGGGTGGTCTTGGCTGCCAGCCCCCTCCTCACATCAGAGATCAGCAGCATCCCAAACGGTAAGTCTTCATCATGGAGTGACATTCAACTGTAATGCTTCTCCCCGTCGTTTTCAGTCGCTAAAACGCAGCTTGAAAACGATCATTTGACATTTAGCATGATGTTAGCTAAAACCTGTAATACTACTACTAGCTACTTATGTTTCGATTTCACTTTTGTTGCGGCATTTAACCTCAAGGCATGAAGGAAACACACTACAGAGGACCGAGCTAATGCCATGAATTAGTTAGCTTAAAGGTGTATATAAGAAGATTTTCTACTTCCGGGTGGATCATCAAGACTATTGGTTCTCCCAATTGTCCGTCATTCTGGTGATAAGTGCTCCTCAAATAAGACCAGAGAGTTTTGTTAAAAAAGTGGAGAGGGCAATTCTTTCCTAAAATTTGGTAAAATCCTACCATACATCTTTAAATCTAATAGTACCTGGGATGTAGTGTTGTAGTAACTTTCGATAAATTAGTCTAAACTGTACTTGCAAGACTTACATTTCATGCAAATGAGAAAATGATAAAATAATAATTATAATTTCATCACACTTTTTTTGGGATACTAGGACACTTCACTCCCTCCATACACAGTGAGAACTAGGGTAGCAAGACCTGCCCGGGGACGCAGACAGAACCAATGTGCCATTGGCCCCTCCGACCACCACCAACCATTCATGCACACACCAGACTCGTACGAGGTAATGTCGTGCCCTACTGTGTCACCTGATGTTTCCAGAGGTCTCCCATCACAGTTTTAGCCTAGCCTAGTTGGGATCTGGCTTTTTCATGCAGGTGGTTGTACAATTTAGGCATACAATCACTCAAATATTTAGCTATTGATAAAAAGAAATGCACTTCTCAATTGAGAGTGTGAGATGGATAGAATGTCAATGTTTATCCCAAAGTCTTTCATGAATTTGATTCATGCCTTTGGATTATTGCGGTTATCCCATAGAATCCTTGTAATTTATAATTATTGGTTGCAAAGACACCATCAAACTTATGTGTTTAGTAACTCTGAGGTCACAAGACTCCTATGAACCATCCAATGATCAGATCACAAGCTTTTCCTCTCTCATTGCCTTGAGCAGAAGAAACATTTATAACTTTTGATTCTCTCTCTTTTTTTCTTTTAATTGTTCTATTGTTTCTCCTCAGTCAAAATGAACGCAGCAGCATTCCCTTCCCCCACCTCAGAGATGGCTGAGATAAACCGCATTCAGTACGAGCTGGACTACACTCAGGGCATCAGCCAAAGTATGCGTGTCCCAGACATGTTGAAAGTGGCACCTCAAGCCCACGATGGCCCTTTTACGCTGGGACTTCAGGACCTCCACCCCAGTGCTGTCATGAACGTCCCAGATAGGATTGTGGTGACTGGTAGGCGAGAAGTCATACTGTTTATTACTGATTTATCTTGTGATGTAACCCTAAGTTCATGCTTCAACTCTTTATTACTGTGGACTTGGGACATTTTTTCATATCCCTTTAGTTAACCAGAAACGATGATGATGATATAACTAATGTATTAATGGAGATAATAATTCAATAATGAAAAATATCTTAGTCATTCACCTTTAGGTCTCTGTGTTAATGTGAATGTCTTCAGGAGATAACAGTAAATCATCATTTCCTGGGACCAGAGACCTGGACCTGATCCAGCCCTCACCGTTTGACGCCCTGTCACTAAAGACTCCCCCTAGAGTGCTGACGCTGAGTGAGCAACCCCTGGACTTCCTCGAGGATGAACAGCAGGCAGCACCAGACAACGAAGACGCGGTACCTAACATTCAAAGAAAACTAGAAAAGTTCTCGCAGAGCGCATAACTCTGCTTAGATGTGCAGTTCCATCCCTTTTGAAAAGAAATCTTGCCTCCAGATGTTATTTCGAATCACCTTTAAAATGTAATTCGGTGTTCACTGGGCCATTGTGTATGTTTCCTGAAAATGTTGTCCAAATCCTTCCAAAACGTTTTATGTTTTGTTGCTTAGACAAACGCCAGTGATCACTTTACCTCCTAATTATGGCTGTAGTCTAGAGCAAGGGTACCCAACCCGAAACCTTCAGTTGATACTTGACTGGGTCCGGACCAGGTTTGAATAGATATTTTAACTGGAGAGATTGATCTGGCCAAAATTTTCAGCCGTTTTTCCTCCAAGAAAATATATTTTTAGTTATTTAACTTAAATACATTTTTCTTATTATTATATATATCATCTTATGATTAATAAGTTGATTGACTTAAAACAAAACCCTGACAGCCCTAAAGAAAATGCATGCATCTATCCACTACTTCTAACCTCTCAACTGCATGGTTCTTTCAGATTCGTCCCCAGGGAAGACTGAGACGAGAACGATCAGCCAGTGAAAACATGTCCTTGCGTCCCAGTGGTCTAACACACAATGACTCTGCGTGAGTATAATCATCTCAAAGTGCCCTTTTCCCCATTCTGTGGTCTGTTGATCTGTTTTGTGTCTCATGGAATATGTTTTTACTGGCGAGGATTTAAGATGCCCGTTTGACTAACCACGAAAGAAAACACTAGCCAAATTATGTATTTTTATTGGGGATATTTTAAAGACATGATTATCTATTTTTATGAATTTCAAATGATCACAAACGCAAGGGCACTTCCTTTCCTTATGTCTTTCCCTTTTTCTCCTTTTCCTTTTCCATCTTGTCTCTTCCGTCTTGCTCTGGTTGTTCTTAATCATGGCTCGTTATGCAGCTCAGCCTCCTCTTCCTCAGCTACTACTGACCCTTCTAATCCCCCACTAACCATGGATGACCAAGAGCACAACCTGTACAGCGCTACTGGTGTTCTCACTTTCATCCAGTCCACTACACGCCGGGCCTACCAGCAGGTCCTGGAGGTCCTGGATGAAAGTCCTAACAGGTGACCGTCCCAATTGTTTGTATAGAACTCCAACACCAGCTGTATACAGGTGAAACTCTGCAAATTAGAATATCATTCAAAAGTCCATTTACTTCTGTAATAACATGGAAAGTAAGATATGTTTTTATTTGTTAAAATTAAAGTGATAGTCTGTAACTCTAAATGAATTACACATTTTAGGAAATGTGTTAAATTGACCTCCTGGCCTTAAATGTTGATATAAAATAAGTCATTTTATTAATTCTAATATTACGGGCAAGTCCCGCCTTCCCTTCTCTTAGCTATAGTTCAGAATCCACGATGCCGTCCACGTTAACCAATCAAGTCATGCCAAGGGCTGTCAATCATCGGCGCTGATGCTCGTAGCTGCTTTTTGCGGAGCCTCCGAATCAAGCCTCCATCAGGCTCTGGAACTACATGAAAACTGAACAAAGAATTCTGAACATCCGCGCTGAGTTACCTGTTTATATACTGAACCTATATCCATAATCATTTATATACTGAACCTATATCCATAATCATTTATATACTGAACCTATATCCATAATCATTTATATACTGAACCTATATCCATAATCATTTATATACTGAACCTATCCATAATCATTTATATACTGAACTATATCCATAATCATTATATACTGAACCTATATCCATAATCATTTATATACTGAACCTATATCCATAATCATTTATATACTGAACCTATATCCAATCTTATTACTGACCTATATCCATAATCATTATATACACCTATATCCATAACATTTATACTGAACTATCCTATCCTATATCATAATCATTTATATACTGAACCTATATCCATAATCATTTATATACTGAACCTATATCCATAATCATTTATATACTGAACCTATATCCATAATCATTTATATACTGAACCTATATCCATAATCATTTATATACTGAACCTATATCCATAATCATTTATATACTGAACCTATATCCATAATCATTTATATACTGAACCTATATCCATAATCATTTATATACTGAACCTATATCCATAATCATTTATATACTGAACCTATATCCATAATCATTTATATACTGAACCTATATCCATAATCATTTATATACTGAACCTATATCCATAATCATTTATATACTGAACCTATATCCATAATCATTTATATACTGAACCTATATCCATAATCATTTATATACTGAACCTATATCCATAATCATTTATATACTGAACCTATATCCATAATCATTTATATACTGAACCTATATCCATAATCATTTATATACTGAACCTATATCCATAATCATTTATATACTGAACCTATATCCATAATCAGATCCTCTGCAGATGTGTGCTATAATGTGCAATTCATGATTATGGCTTCGCCGCGAACATTATTATTTTATTTAAAACGTTAACAAATAATTTTTAAAACCTACGTGCATGTGTATCAATCATGTATATGTATAATGTGTTCTCTCATTAACATTTAAAAGTGTTACAGAAACGTAGGCGTAGACCAATCAGAAAGGAAGGGGGAGGAGCCTGCGTCGTTTTTTTCAAATCTAGTACCTCTCTCTCTCTTTTTCTGACAAACTCCAGACAATCACGTTAAATTCACGCTCATTATATAGCACAGTATTGTATATAGCATAGTGATTTATGAACAAGACCGTTTCCAAAGTGCTGCTTAGGCATCAAGTTAGTAAAATAATAGCTTTTATTACAAGTTACACTGTATTTTAAAAGCCTGATTTGATTTGACTCGCTCCAAGACCATAAAATAAGTAAAATCATATTATCATAGACATTAACAATAAATGATTGTAATAAGAGGTGACAGTAGCTCAGTTGGTAGAGCGTTGGCCTTTGAGCCAGAAGACTTTCATCATCGACTCCCACTGACTACTGTGTCAGTGTGCCCCAGGGCAGCTGTGGCTACAGTAGTAGTTTATCACCACCGTGTATGGAGTGAAAGAATAATGACATGTAAAGCGTCTTTGAGTGTCCAAAAAAGCGCTATATAAAACTGATGCATTATTATTATTATTAAGAACACAGAGGACTATACAACATGCTGTGTTCAAATCCATGGAATAAAAGTCTGAAAACACGAGAGCTGTTGATAATGTTAATATTGATAATAATGTTGATTTTTTTTTTTTTTTTTTTTTGCTCACAGCTTGTAAATACCCCCACTTCTCAGAACATTTTTATATTTTGAAAATGGACTGGAAGCCAAAATAAATCTAAATGATAACAAAGACACTCACTCTCACCCTTTATTGGACCAGGAAAGTCCCACTGAGTCTTCACCTCAGAGAGAGGGGGCAGGAGCAGGTGTTTTGGGGCACTATTCTACATGTTTTTACTCATTATTAGTTGTTTATGTAATGATTCTATTATTGGTTTTGCATTACAGAAATAGATTCACTTTGGAACCATATTCTAATGTTCCGAGTTTCACCTGTACACTGTTCTATTTATAGAGCAGGCATGCAAAACAAGACGTCTCATAGTGTAAGATAATCTGGATGTATTTTTTGATGTCCTATCCACACTGTATGTCTTTTCCTTTCACCACTTCAGCAAAGCACCGTCTCTGCCCGGGGGTTCTGCTTCCGGAGCCAACCCCCGGCATAACGCCAGGTAACTTCCACTGACTTGCATCTGTCCTGCCCTCATCTGGTCTTGCATTTCTTTCTAATGTCTGTATGTATGTCGAGCTCAGCCGCACCCTCAAAATACTTGCCACAAGGGGGCGTGTTGCATTTATTAACTTGACTTGTATTTTCAGGCTTTCGATGTCCACTTATGAAGCCTCGTTTGATGCTGGTGCAGAGGACTTGACCATGGTGGATGCAGCAACGCTACGCAGACAGGTCAGCAAACATGTCAGCAAACATGTCCGCAAACATCCTACAAACATAACGCTCTAAACAATAATAATTTTACAGCATAATGTCATAGTACTGCCAGCATAGCCCCGTTTAGACGGCGGCGCTTCGACAATAAAAAACATTAGAGTTGGGTATTGGTTTGGCCTTTTGTTTACATTAAGACGGTGTATCAGAGGGGTGAAAACGCAAGGGTTGAGAACCTAGAGTGGAACAGAAGAGATAAGCTGCTCAGTCACGTGAATAAAAGGGTGTGAATTAGGGATGTACCGATCCAGATTTTTTGTAATCCGATCCGATGTTCTAAATATTGTTTTGCCGATACCGATCCGATACAATTTTATTTAATATTTTCAAAGCATTAAAGATTTTGCATTTTTACCTGATTAAAAACGTTTGTCGTATCGGCTAACACATGTTAGCAGCCTTGTTTACAGTCACGGGGAATGAGGCTCGAGGAATATGTTCACAAGCAGTCTCCCCCATAGTTAGTCCTGGTGTAATCCTGGTTTAGTCCTGGTTTAGCTCCTGTTTTGTGTCCCCATGACGGCTCTGTGCGGCCGCTCTCTGATAGCCGCACGGAGGTAAAAGTTCATCACTTGCTTTCGCGGCATGCATCGGGTCTCCGTGTCCACTGCCTCTCCCGCCGCACATGCTAATCCTGACACGGACGGGCATAACCATTGACACGGCATTGAAAAACAATCTTTCGATCCATGTACGCCACGCATTGTGCGGTTGTTGTTTTGCATTTCCCAGAAAGTTTTGCGGTTCACGCTTGGCTGTGATAGGTCGAGAAGCCTATGCCTACATCCCCCAGAATGTCGCGCGCTTCTGACTCTGCTTTACTTCCTGTGTTTTCGTCCTTTTTTTTCTAACGGATTAATGTTAAACTAACATTCTATCTACCCCGTTTTGTATTGATATTGAACGTGTCTATCGCAATATATCTCGTCGTCGTTTTATTGCCCAGCCCTAGTTTTACATTGTATTTAGATTACGGCAGCCGTAAAGCGTGAGCATGCTGAAAAGTGACGTGAATCGGCTTCACATTTAACAAATCCGATATTATCCAATCCTTACAAAATACCCATATCGGCCCCCGATACCGATACTGAATATCGGATCGGTATATTGCTAGTGTGAATTGTCTGCCTGCTATGACCTTTGGACATGCGCAGTAGCCGAGAACAAACGTGAACCACAATGGCGGCGGGTAAACTAACTATATGCGTATGCTTCAAGTGCTACACAAAACCATGCCAAGCTGTAGCTTTCAGTTTCCATTTTTGCAGTTGCTATGCAGACAATGTTGGTGCATTCTTTCACGTCTTTGCGGTGGGCTGAGGAGGATGTTGTTGAGGAAGTGTATATACTGCTACCAGTTTTTTCTGATATATATAATTTAAAATATGCCAATGTCAAATTTTGTCATTTTTATTTAGTATCTATACTTGCTCAAATTATTATCTTGTTTCCATACTGGTTTTTAGTATACACTGTATATTAATATCTGATTATCAATACTTGTGACAACCTTAGTGAATAAAGTAAACACCCTAACAATATTTACAAAGAAAATGATCTGTTTTGACAAATTATATTTAGATTTATGTTGATAGAAAACAAGACAGCATGGAACAAACATTTTAAACCAAATTTTCATAGTCTACGGTTGCTAGGCGGCACGGTGGCTGAGTGGATAGCACTCTCGCCTCTCAGCAAGAAGGTCCTGGGTTCAAATCCCGGCCGGACCAGGGCCTTTCTGAGTGGAGTTTGCATTCAGTCTGCGTAGGTTTCCTCCGGGTACTCCGGTTTCCCCTACCACTAAAAATATGTCCAATAGTTCAGGCATGCGCCTCCTGTACTGGCGACCCCACTCCCATCTCTGTGTGGAGTGAGAGACAAATGCCCAAAATTAACAATTGTAAACCGCTTTGAGACTCAGATCTGCAGTGAAAAGGCGGTATATAAATAAAAACTTACTTACTTACTTACTTACTAGTGTGAGTGCTGTGTGCTTTATTTTTATTTTAAGCGCTTTGGGTGACCTTGGTCTGTAAAATGCGCTATATAAATAAACATGACTTACTTACTTACTTACTATTTTGCATAGAGTTGAATTGTTTTGAGAGCTAACACCCACTTCATCGACCCGGGACCACTTTGACCACAGCCTGTAGTCAATAATATACATTGCTCTCTGATCATAAAACTAAATGGGCAGCATGTACAGTAAGTTTGCATGCTAGTAGGTGTTTGAGTGTCATCTATTAAAGTAAATATCAAATACTTTTCAAATTGAGAAGAGGGAGAACATTTTTGAATACCAGTTAGACCTGCCCACACTTACCACCACGGCTTCCTGTGGTTATCTTTATGCGTCTATTGTATTTATTTAACAGGGACAATGCAGTCATACTATTTACAGCAAAATGTCCATGAAACATACAAGTGATTTTTTTTTCGATTTTGTCTCTCATAGTTGAGGTATACCTATCATGCAAAAGACAGACATCTCTTTTAACTGTATGTGGAAGGACTTGCATAAATAGTAGCTGACAAAATCCTTTTCTGCCCCACTCTATATACTGTAAATAGTTACGCCAAGAAGAGGGACTTTCATCTATATTTTTTGCCCATATGGTGAAATGGTCAAATAGATGCATTATGCTGAACCTGAAATTATCCACAAATTACTTAGTTGAACAAGAATCTTTTTTATAACACGTAAGTCTATAAAAACACATACACCGTCTTCTTGTTACAGCTGTTAGTTTCAGTTGTTGTCTGTCGCTATGGTTACTCGCTGCGGAACCCAAACCCAAAGGACTGGTTGCAAGTCGGACGCGTTGAATGCTATACAAGTTTATAAATACTTTAGACAAAACATTTCCATGAGCCGACTACAAACTCTCCTCCAGATAACGATGCACCTTTTTAAGTGAACTCTAATTATTTATTCACAGCTCATCAAGTTAAACCGGAGGCTGCAGCTGTTAGAGGAGGAGAACAAGGAGAGAGTGAAGCGAGAGATGGTGCTGTACTCCATCACCGTGGCCTTCTGGCTCGTCAACACCTGGGTTTGGCTACGGCGCTAACGTGACACAATCGCACCAAACATACCTATTTAAAATGTACAGTTTTATTTTTTTACCGCTTTTGTTCATTCCGTTGATTCCCCGTTTTATTTTTGATACAATATGCGAGGCTGTGGGCTGGTATGGATTGTAAATATTTGCATTGCATCACTTCGCTTCATAAGAATTTAGCCACAAGAACATTAAAGCTACAGTATGCACCATTACAATAATGGAGGTGCCATGTGATTGTGTACAAATGTGTTTATTCCAGGGCTGTTGTAAGTGGAAGGGGGGAGATCATTCACTTTAGTAAAACCTAAACAAGTATTATTTACTGTCTTGTCTGTTTTTTCCTGTCTTCATTAATGGTTGTAGTCCTGTGTCAAAAATCTAAAGAGTGAAAAATTGCGAAAAATCCAAGGTTGCTCTTTCTCTAACATTCACTGTTTGAGAAAATATGATTCCACAATCTCTTCATGTTGTCCTAATTATGCACAAACAACAAATTGAAAGCTTTTATGTTTTATAATGTTGATAATGGGCTCACAGTTTGTAAAGACCCCAAATACAGTGTTTCATCCATAATTATCAAAACGTTAACAAACCAACGGCATATGTCACTTTGAGTCTATCAGCTAACCTCGGGTCATAACCAGTGGGGGCGGGTCCCGGCTCAAAAATGGCCAAAATGACGTGCGCTGACATGCTTACAATACCAATCCGGGCCGATGGGGGTGGACCATGGATCTATTATAATAACGGGGTGGACCCGGAAAAGACTTATTCAATGCTAACGTATTGCATTCATTAGCTGACCTCTCGAAAACGTCTTTACAGGATGGTCCAAAAGTTGGTTCTTGGCCCAAAGCTCCGTTCCACATGTGTGTCAATGCTGAGGGGGGTGAATTTTTTTGAACCCGTCTAGTTTAGACGCATGCGCAGATGCGTTTTTTCACATTTTCTAGCCCCCGCGGCCATTTTTAAACTGCCCACGGACCGTGGAAGTTGTGGCACATTAGTTAGAACGGCGGAGATAGGCATGACTACATCCGTTAATATTTACAGTCTATGGTCATACCTCATGAACAGCCCCTGGACAACTCTAATGATCTTAAGTGGCCGTCTTACTAAAAGGTTTGGGAACCCTTGGTCTATATCATGCATTGATTTCACATTATAAGTTAAATTACAGAAAAATATCAACCTTTTGAACAATATCTTGTAAATCAAATTCCAATAAGAAATCGATTTCCCAGAATCACTCAGTCCTACTTGGTTGTAATGATAAAAAGCACAAGAAAAATTTACCATTTATTTCTTCAAACAGTGTGCTATACAGTAAGCTTCGAGGAATTTTACTAAAATATGTAACTTGCATTAACACAACATTTTCAAACGGAACTAAAATACTTAGAATAAAAACCAAAACCAAAATGAGTTTTCTTTATAATGTTCAGTCCAGCTCTTCAATCAGACAGTGCTGACGTGGTGCAGGGTCTGGTTTTGGTGGCTCCACTTTTGATTGGCACCACAGCAGTTCAGTCGCATTACCGCTTGTCAAGTCTAAGAAAAGATTAGATCTTTCTTCTGCTTCATTCAGTAATGCACTTGCCTCAATTTCCTTCTGTGCCGTTTCATCCTCCGTATCTGACAAAACCACTATTTTCGGTCTGGGCTGCAGCTGTGAGTTGGACGGCTGTATAAAGAAGTCGTCAGTCTCTGCCTCTACCAAATCTGGGAGGTCTTCAATGTACAAGTGCTGGGCGAGCTGGATGGTTTCAAACTCATCGATATTAATCATTTCTGTGACCAACTGTCCTGGATAATTCAGAGATATTTCTTCAACCTGGCAACCCCCTGTGCCTTCAGTCCCTTCCACATGTTTGCTTTCCGTTTGGATTGACTGGGATTGGCTTTCGGCTTCTGATAGTTGAGCGTTTGGAGCTATATTTTCAGTATTCACCTCTTCTATGCGACTGTCCAGTTGGTGTTTTCTGTCATCCTCCACCTGGTGTTCTTCCTCAATCTCCACAGTTTCTCGTGCTTCTTCCTCATTTTCAGACTCCTCACTATCTTCAATGTCTTCATCGTCTTGCTGGTCATCTTCACCACACTCCAAAAACTCATTGTGTGCATCCAGACAGTCCTGCACAAATATATCGACTTTATCACCTGGGGATGTCGGTTCTGCACTTGGGGTTTGGTCTTCGTTCACTGTTTTGTCTGTAGAAAAAGAAAAGATCACAGAAAAACATTATTACTCAAGTTCCACGCCAAGAGGATCTACTATAACTGTTTTAGTAATTTTCCCGGAAAATTGTTTAATGAAAGAAAAATACATTAATTTAATTTGTGTGTGTCTGTATTTCTAAAACTTCATATGGTAGAACATATGGGTTATTACTTAAAGCTTGGATTTCTAACTTTTTCAAATTAATATTCCATGTTGATTTTCCTGATGCAAAAAGTAACAAATTGGACGTTAGAAAACAAGTGATCTTTTGTATTAGAAAGTGCCCCATGAGGCTTTGGGCTGAAAGCTGATTGGCTTAATGAGGGTTCTCTATTTTTCACTTTTTTGCCTGAAATAGCTTTCCAAATATTCCATAAATACATACAAACATACACAACTTGTGGTAACACTCTTTTGAGGCGAGGCACTAATTACATGGATTGCATCAGTCACTTTTCTTATGGTTTGAACGTTGCAAATGGTTGTTAGTTGTGAATCACTTATTGCAACACAATGCACAATTTACAAGTAATAAGCCATCTATTTATTCTCTGAACATTTCAAGCTATTCATATTCACTCCTCATTTGTTATTTTTGACAGCACAACTAAGTTACTTTACAACCAGCCTCTTCAACCTTCTTTTTTCCCCCTCTTTGCAACACCAGTATCTGCCTGATGACGCCTTGAACAACAACTCTATGGACATACCTTTTTCTTTTTGCTCACCTCTTAGCTCTCTCTCCATGGCCCTTTTCTTTATCAGTGCCATTCCATCCAAGCTTTCCTGGATTTTCCTCCGTTCTCTGGACTCCCACTGCTCCCTCTCCACACGCTCTGCTTCCAGGCCTCCAGTCGCCCAGGCTTCTGCGCACGCCCTGTCCTTGGGGAACACGGGCCGATCATCCAGGAAGGTCAGACCTTTCAGCCGCACGATCAACGTCTTCCTATAATTTGGGATTTTCCTCACCACCTCATTACCGTTCAGTTCCAACACACGAAGTGCAGGCATCGTTTCCAGCACTTTGAGGATTTCTGGGTCTTTCAGAAAGTTGTGAGACATGTCCAACACGCTCACAGCCGTGCAATCTCTGAGGTGTTCTACGTCCTCGTAACATTCAAGCTTGTTGTGAGCGATCTGGAGCGTGCTGAGGTCTGGGAGAGAGGAGATGTTCTCGATGGTTTTGATCTGGTTGTTGGAGACGTTCAAAGTGCAGAGCTTCTTGAGGTGCTCCATGTTCTCCATTTTATAGATTAAGTTCTGCTGAAGGAATAGGCTGCGCAGCTCGGTCTGGGCATCCAAGTTCTCGATGCGCCGGAGCCCGTTGCTTTCCAGCCATAGACACTTCAGTCCAGTGTATTCCTCCAGGTTCTCTATGGTTGAAAATCCCTTGAAGTGCAAATATAATGTGTCATTCAGGTATGGCGTGCAGTAAAGTTTGTGTTGCTTGCAATGATCCTTCAGAAACTTCTTGGTGATCCGTGGTTCAGTGTATTCCTTCTTGGCTTGCTTCTTTGTCATATCTTCATAGTTGTTTTGTGCCATGTTGATTGGATTGTCACCTGGATGGATTGTCTTTTATCCACAAATTACTTACTTACTATAAAAACACATACACCGTCTTCTTGTTACAGCTGTTAGTTTCAGTTGTTGTCTGTCGCTATGGTTACTCGCTGCGGAACTCAAACCCAAAGGACTGGTTTCAAGTCGGACGCGTTTAACGGTTGCACGCTGTTAGTTAGGCGAGTAACAACATGGCCACGGGATTTCTGCTCAATCGTGGAGCTCTAACGCTGGGAATCCACTGTCAGCATGTGTGCAGAAATGTTACTGTGACCCAAGTGAGGGAGAAAAAGAGATGGATGAAAGCCTACACGTATCTCATGGCGAAGAAACTGAAGCTGGAAGGGCCACCGCCTCCAAAACCACGGTAAGCTAACAGGCTAGTTTTGCAGAGATCATCTCAAGGCCAATGATGCACTGTCAAATCATAGTATAGTGTCAGTGTTGTGGAGTAAGTTAAAACTGCCCGGAAAAATATTTTGACAACTGTATTTGTCAGAATTAATACAGAATAGACATGCTTCATGGTGAGATGGAGTAGAGCTTGGAGGTATTATAAATGTGTGTACATATATACCTCTATGATTATTAGAGCTGGAGCATCTAATTTTTTGAGAAGGCAAAGAAGAATATTCAGATCCTTAATCTTTAATCTAATGTTGCCTTTACCCAGCTTGTAAGAAAGAAACGTGTGAGTCACTGTTTGACTCTTTTTAAGTCAAGAGCTGATTGGCAGTGTGAGGGTGGTTGAGGGAGGCAAAAAATGCATGCACGTGGAAACGAGTTGTTGAAACAAACTGAAATTACTGAACATTGATTTTTGTTCATGCATATTTCTAAAAGAAAAAAAATGAATAAGCTAGAAGGTTTAGAAAAGGAGGTACCCCATGTAAAATAATAGTATTGACAAGGCATACCTTTGAGCATTGATTTGTGTAATAACTCTAAATAATAAATGTTGATGACTTTGTTCATGTTTTGCAGCTCCCAGAAACCTAACTGGGATTACCATGCTGAGATCCAAGCTTTCCAGAACCGTCTTCATGAAACATTTTCTATGGAGCTTTTAAAAAGGGCTTTTGTCAATCCGTGTTATCTTAAAGCAGAGTGTGAAAGGAGACAGGAATTGGGCGTGGACTCTGAGTTGACTGCGCTTGCTCTGAAGGATAATCTTGAGCTTTGTGACAGAGGAGAAGAAATCACAAGAACATTTGTTGCTGACTGGTGCAGGGCCAGCTTCCCTAGCTTGCCCGACGACGGGGTGCAGAGTGTTGTTGAATATCTTGCTGGTAAAAGCACTATCTCCTACGTTGCCAAAAACCTAGGGATTGAAGATCTCACCATGAGTGCAGATTTTCCTATACCAGAGGAGGTCCTCTATTCTACATTCATGGCAGTGATAGGAGCCCTCCAGGAGAGCAGTGGGGCAGAACGGGCAGGCTTTTTCCTCAGGGTATGTATTTCAATCTCACTGTTTGCTTTCATAAAATAGTGTGAATGTTGACTCTAATTTTGTGTCACTCTCTTGTAGGATTTCCTGGTTACACAAATGATTGGAAAGGACCTATTCGATGTATGGACTGTTGTGAATCCTATGGGCCTTCTAGTAGAGGAGCTTAAAAATAAGGATATTCCTTTACCAGAACCCCGTCTAATAAGGTCTGCAGGAGCCAGCACTGTCCTTCCTCTCTACTTTGTTGGCTTGTACAGGTTTGTGCCGTTTTCAGACTTTGGCCATTTGTCTGTACAATGTAATTGATAATGGTTTTTCTTGTTTTAGTGAAAAGAAACTTTTGGCTCAGGCTCCAGGAGAGTCTCTAGCTGCAGCAGAGGAGGAGGCTGCTCGGGTCGCACTAAGACATATGTATGGCTTCAATGAAAACAGAAAACCAATTCAGTTCTCTCCTCAGCAGGAGCACCAGCTAAAAATTCAGGCTACCAGTAACAATTAAGCAGTTATAATTTAAAAAAGGCTTCTTGATGCATATTAGCCAATTCAATTACTGTGTAAATAGTCAATAAAAACATGTTATGCTTGTATTTTGCTTTTTCTTATCCACTTCCATAACATTTAAACAGTAAAGTGTCATTTGTACAATGTATTTTTGTATTGTAGTACATTAGAGTAACCACATGATGTCACTAGTTTTCTTATCAATTACTTAATTAGGATGGGGTTTAACCCTCCAAAAACGTTACTTACTGTGACTCATCTCAATATCTAAGAGTTTCAAAGGAGGACATTTGAACACTTTGTTCACCAGGTTTTACATGCTTTTCTTTTTCATCTTATGTTATATCAGGTTTTTTAAGCAGAAGAGGGAAGGAACCATTTCTGCTCTGCAAAATAGACACTTTTTATGTCAATGTTTTCTAATAAACATTGGCATGTTGTGGTTTGGTTTGTTCACTATTTACTTCTCCGAAACACTTTCTTGTGTGATTAACAGAATTGTATTAATAACCTCTCGATTTTCAAAATGGTCAATTTATCTGAGTTTATTTCTTTTATGAATAGTTCTTTCAAAAGCGGTTAACAAAGAAAGAAGCAATCATACAAGCCAATAAAATAACAATCCCAGGACATTAAATGAGTTAATTTACAATCTATGAGTTTTATACACAGCTAAACTAAACCGCTTTTCATCTTGATTTGAACATGAGAATAAGTCTAGCATTTTCAGGAAGACTGATCCAAATGTTAGCTGCATATTCCCTGTGCTCCTCAGAGTCTGAGTTGGACGTATGATAACAATAATAAATATTATAAAAACAAAAATATAAATACTTATTCATTTTCCCACGATCTAAATCCATTAAACGATACAAACAGGATCAGGTGGTTAAAAATATAATGTATTAATGTCATAACATTGCCCTAGGATACATTTTAGATAGTCATGTTTCCTTATCATAACGTGAATGAAACGAATGCGGAAGTACGTGGACAGCACCATCTCGCCTCTTGCTCTTTGTAGGACGCCTCCTCTCTGGCTCGAACTCCTTGTTGGAGAAGACGCCGAGGCCGCCTCCCCTGAGCTCCCAGCCCCTCTCTCTGAAGCCGGGCGTTCCGATCCACAGCTCCCCGGGTCCTCTGGCTAGCCGGTCCCCTGCTGCTCATTCACCAGCGCCGAACAGACCTCCACCATGGCGGCGAGTGCGAAGCGAAAACAGGAGGAAAAACACTTGAAGATGCTCAGAGAAATGACTAGTTTGCCTCCCAATAGAAAGTGCTTTGACTGCGACCAGCGCGGCCCGACCTATGCCAACATGACCGTGGGTTCTTTCGTGTGTACCTCCTGCTCTGGGATTCTGTAAGTACCCTCCACAACAACAAAACACAGCACCGTGCCCAGCTCAGTCATGGTGCACTGTATGTTTGATAAGATCCCCCCCTTGAACCGCTGCAATGTGCGTCAACCATTGCAAAGTTAGCATATGGTGGCTAGCTAACCTCTCCACAATCTGTCAGTGTGGTCATAATCTGCTGTGCAATGGTTTGATGCATTGTTCTGGGCGGGTGAGATTAAGAATAGAAATTTTTTGCGCGGTGAAATTATCTCTGATCTCATAGTTGTGGCTAGATAACAGGAGATCCCAGACTGAACCAACTTGTCACTTACTGCAAGCTAGATGAGATCGATCAAACCAGGGGCTATAGTTTCCTTAAATCTTCCTCACAAACATGTTTCTGTATAAAATGTGTATTGATGCGAATTATAATGTGTAATAATTCTTACTCTATGGCTTTCCTATTATGATTGTAACACTGGGCGAGCAATCAGCACGTTTCAACACGTATACTGGATAAAAAAAACCTTTGTATATAGTGGATTCCTTGAAGTTCTGTGGTAGCATGCATTTGTAGTTCAGGGCGGAGGATTAGTGACGAATTACATCACTTATTAACCTTAAGTTATTCCTTCTTGATTAAACTCTAAAGGAGGTCACACAGCTCAGGAGGGCAGAGTGAAATGGAAAGGACTCAAAAGACTCAATATTTTACTTTCACTTTTTTATATATGTGTATAGCTTTGTTTTTTGCCTTCTAGACTGTAATCTGATTAATTCTTTCTATCACTTTCATATTTGCAATGCTATCAGCAATTTATAGCATACAGAATGCAATCAAATGAGGGACATGGTTGTCAAGGGCAAATGTTTTCAAAACAAAAAGTTAAAATTTCAACATAATCCAGATAATTATTCACGTCAGTAGACTTGTGTCCACATGTCACTTATTGCACTCTATTAGATTCAGAATTTCTATTTTAAAGTCACTGACAAATGCCAAAGGAAGTCGTCATGAGCTTGACATCACCTCTATTTATGCAGCAAAACTTTCACAAATGTAACTGTAGAAGATACAGTATATATTTACTTTAGACATTATATTAAAGGGGTTTTTGTGGCTTGTCTGTTCTGTAAACCTGTTGTGATTGTAAGATCGGAAGTGGCATGGCCCCACAGCTGCTACATCAGCAACATGTGATTTTAAACATGAGCAAAAAGGAAATGGTGAAAGTAAGTATATTATTACAACATACTCCAATTTCAAATGCAACTTTTGGTTAACTGCATTAAATCAACAGGTGAATATAATGCATGTAAGCTTGTATTTTATAGCGTCCCGATATAAGCAGTCTATATTAGTTGGGGAACTTATTACCCCCACCTCTCCACCACGTCATTTCTGAAAATCTCTTTTAGTTGTGGTTGCTAAGTGGGTGGAGCTGGAATCTGCTGTGTAAACACATTCCTCATCAAGGTGGAGGCTTTCCCAAGAGGAACCCGGCTCACAATGCATCTGTGTGGAGGCTCCTTCTGGCCAGGAAGTCTCCAGACCTGGAGAGCGTCACTGTCGCCACGCCGATGGCATCTCCAAAGCAGTGACGACCAAACTGAGAAGCAGACGCAAACTCTGTTCTGTAGACGTTTGTCCCAGTTCAAAGTGAATAGATGTAATGGCAAGGTTTTGTGATTGATCAGCTTTTCATATGCATTGATTGGAGCTGTAACAACCACACAATTATGTTGATAGTCAACTACTTTTGTAATTGATTCATTGCTTTTTTTAACTGTACAAAGACAAAAATGTGTTTACAAAGTATTTTTGAATCAAACAAACCAATATGTAACAAACCAATATGTAACAAGTTATCTCTCCAAAAGATCACGTTCACTTTTTTTTGGTCAAATGTGTAAAAAGTCCCATAATCGCTGAGCTTTCGCGATCAACAATTCGATTAATGTAAAGAATAATTGTTAATTCCAGCCCTGCAATTCATACAACCCATTACATTATTGACCATAGTGGTTTATGAAGCGACTGTTGCACAATTTAATCTCGTTCGTTCATAAAGTACCACAGGTGCAGGAAAGGCTGTTTTATTCTTAGTTTGACACGTGAAGTGCTGCTTTCAAAGATCTCTCATCTGACCTAGTTTGATTTCATGTGACGGGGATGAGATCAGTCAGCCGCCCCAGGCCACTCAAACATCGACAAGCTCACCCCCAAGTGACATGTACTACACTCATGGAAACTGCAGGCTGTTCTAATGTACTACTCACTTATGTATATATGTATGTATTAGAGTTTGCGTTTTCAAATTGGGCCTCTGACTGCGTTAGAATGGATGCCCAAGTTTTGTACAGCAAATTGGTGAATGATTTATGAGCAAGTCGGTATTGTGTTACACTGTACTTCAACATGTTAGCCATGATCACAACACATTTTTAGCAAAGATGTGGCCCCTTTTATCTGCGTTGCTAACCAAATTCTGCTTATGTTTAATATTATTCTATGATCTCAAATGTACTGCTGTAAGCTTTTGTTGGCACTAAATGTATTTCCTCTATCTAATCCCAGAAGGTCCCATGCTCTGATACCGATCCTATTTTACACCAGCAAATATTTGCTAACTGTGTTTGGTTGCGCAGAGGCATGATGTGTCAAAATAAGAGCATTTACGTTAGGGGGAAAGGGAAAGCACATCGTAGACCGCTGTCGTTGCATAATACTGATAAAGCAAGCTGAATAAATGCTGACCTTGAAAAAATAAATTCGCAGCGACCTTGCGACCACATTAGCTCCCGCTTACGCATGTATCAAGAATAAAGAGCGGATCCAGCCACAAGCTTCATATAAAAAGCTCTCAGGGCTGTTTTCACCCAGTACTTCTGCCATTTGCACTGTATTTGCAATTGCCATAAAGGCCGTCACTCAACTCATTGTCTCGTCTCTTGTCGACGGCTCTATTCAAAGGCTGCCGATTCTTTTGGTGAGCGATCATGTTCACTGCTTCTGCAAATGCTTCTTTCTGTCACACCATACTGGGCCCCCATCTCAAACTGACCTCTATCTCCGTCTCCTCTCTCTCTGCCCACAGACGAGGACTCAACCCGCCGCACAGAGTCAAGTCCATCTCCATGACGACCTTCACACAATCAGAAATCGAGTTCCTACAGAAACACGGCAACGAGGTGGGTGGCTGCCGTCGTGACGTGTGCTTTTTCTTCTATTGTGTCATCGAGCAAGTTGCATTCTGTCCAATCCATTGAATTTAGGCCCGTGACAATAATTGATTTTGATGGGAGATATATTGCTTCCAAAAAATGCCACTTGCTATTTGTTTTGAATAGGGGTGTGACGATATATCGATTTTTCGATATATCGCGATACTTTCTCCCGCGATTTGATTATCGATATGCATTTGCCAAGTATCAATATTGATTTAGAAAAAAAAAATGTTTAACTTTTTTTTTTGAATTGGTATCAATACTTAATATATGGCTACATTACGCATCTCCATTCTATTTATCATGAAATTAGTATTTTTTTCTTGTATTTTTGCCATAAATTGGCATATTGTATATTTCTGACTAATATATCAATAATCGTCATATCCTGATAAAATCGTTATCGTGATATCGTTATCGTGATATTATCGTTATCGTGAGCTTTGTATCGTATCGTGAGGTACCCTTAGGTTCCCACCCCTAGTTTTGAATTTGAATTGAAAAGAACGTTTTTTTTCCCCTACTGCTTCCTCATTGAACAGAATAGATTTAAATTATTCAACGGAACGTCCTGGGTTTGATTCCACCTCCAGGCCATTTCTGTGTGGAGTTTGCATGTTCTTTCCAGGAATGTGTAGGTTTTCTTCACCACTAAAAACGTGTTTAATGTGTCTGGCATGCGCTCCCTGTAGGTGACCTGCTTCCATTTCTGTGAGCAGGGAGAGACACTAAATATTTAGACATTAATTACTCACCAAGACGAAGGCTCTTGCTGTTGGTCTAACAATTCTATTCCAGCAAATTGTAATGGTGGTTTTTATGCCAAATAGAGGGAACGTTTTAAATATATTGTGTTTGAAATATACATACTTTACGTGAAAAGATATGGTCATATAGTCAAAAATGTGTGAGAATAAAGTTTCTAATATCCCCTTTAACACTACTTATGCTTATTCAATGAAGTAGGTTAATAGTATGTGCCAAGTTAGTCGTACAGTATGTGCCAAGAAAATAAACAAGCAGAAGTTATTCATATTTAGTCTCTTTGAGCCATCTAAAACCAAAACCTTCTATTGTGAAAAAAATAATTTACATACGTGAAATACTGAGAGCCACCACAATAAATGGCTTCATCCATCAGACAGTGGCATTGTTCTTTCTGCAATGTCAAACCATGTATTTATTTATTTATTTGAACAGGGACAATGCACATTCATGAAAATGTCTGTAAAGGTGCCATACACATTACATTAGTGAATGAAATAAAAATAGTAAGTTGCCGCATACATTTTTTTTCACCAAATATCAAAAGGCCATCCATGAAATTACCTATCTATAACTTCTGTGGTTAATTTTAAAATCATGTATCTTGGTTCGAAGGAGCTCACTCAACTTTTCTGCCTAATCTGAGCGCAAAACAGAGCAATGACTCTTGGGAAGTGGAGTCTATTTATAGCGATGACAAAGTCGACGCAGCGGGGAAAGACTCAAGGTTGAAAGTGCGTACATGCTCGAGCGTAGAGGCGGGGGCTTTATCGATTCTGCAGAAATTCTGTTCCAGTTTCACACCTGAAAAGAGATGTAGGGTAGACTGGAAGATGGCGTGCAATGAATTGTTTAATGCTAAGTTTCCATTTAACCACAAAGGCCACAGTAGCTGAAAGTTCCCACACATCTACGAGCGCTGCGGTGTGCTGTACCAGAAATGCAAACATACCAACATTCCAAATTTGAACTTGAGGGTATGTTTTTGTACCAATCTTTTCTCACCTTGTCTTGTCATGAAATATAGTGTCCTCTGCATTTGACTTTAATTTCCAGATGGGCTTGGTCATGACTGTTAATTCATTTCAGGGCTTGTTGCTATGGAGTTGTGCAGTGTAATGTAACAAATGCTCAGTGAATTTCAATGTATTTTTGTGTGGCCCTAAATCGCAACAGCAGTCATCTCTGAGGGTTTTACAAAGATCAGATTCAGATCAAACGGAAAAAATGTTATGACCCAGCTCAGCTAAGGTAAGGGAGGTAACAAAAAAACCAAAATGTTAAATGGCAAAGCAAGTATTTAATAACAGGGATGTAAATGATAAGTAGACATAAACCAAAAGGACACAAGACAGGGGTAACACAACGTTACCAAAACAAAACCTAGACTAATCTCTTTACACTAATACACATAGAACTATACACTTAACTGACTGTTGTCTCAAATAAAGCGAAATGACAACTAAAAAGAGACAAACCAAATAAAAACTATCCGGACTTATAAGTCATTGCCTAGAATGAGTCTCGTGTGTATATGAATGGTTGGTGGTGGTCGGAGGGGCCGATGGCGCATACTGGTTGCCTCGCTTCTGTCAGTGTGCCCCAGGGCAGCTGTGGCTACAGTAGTAGTTTATCACCACCGTGTATGGAGTGAATGAATAATGACACATGTGAAGCGTCTTTGAGTGTCCAAAAAAGCGCTATATACAACCGATTTATTATTATTATTATTATTATTGCCACCTCGTGTGACAATGACAGACCATGGGGACAAAATGGCATACCAGCCACACACACAGGGGTCAGCACTAGATCATATATGGAATCGGGACGGAAGCGGAAGTAAATATAACAAACTACCTATTCATGCCTAAACTTAACCAGCCATTCCCATAAAATAGTAGTAGTAGTAATCTTTATTTATATACCGCCTTTTCACTGAGTCTCAAAGCGGTTTACAATTGTTATTCTTGGGCATTTGTCTCTCACTCCACACACAGATGGGAGCGGGGTCGCCAGTACAGGAGGCGCATGCCAGAACTATTGGACATATTTTTAGTTGTAGGGGAAACCGGAGTACCCGGAGGAAACCTACGTAGACACGGGGAGAACATGCAAACTCCACTCAGAAAAGCCCTGGTCCGACCGGGATTCGAACCCAGGACTTTCTTGCTGAGAGGCGAGAGTGCTATCCGCCCATCAAAATAACCCCAACCCACCCTTAATCCTAACTTTAACCATCTTACTCAGACACCTAAAACTTAACCAGTCACCACTTATGGACTTGTTAGTCTAAAACTAATTTGAAAGTGGGATTGTTACTTCCGTTTTCGTCCCGATTCCGTATATGATCTAGTGCCGACCCACACACAGGCTGCAGCCCCGAACAGGTGCGGCTTTAAGTGGGAGACTGACCCCAGGTGGGGAAGCTGTGTTGGCCAGGTGCACCGCTGCTCCTCCAATCAGCACCTGAGTCACGGACTTCTGGGAGGGCCAGGGGATATCCAATCACAGGCCAGGGATCTCGAGACAGAAGGGGTTGCCGCACACAAAAACACAAAATCCAAAACGGGAGCCATTTACAGACCCAGGGCCGTAACTTAAGACAATCAAGCGGTTTGATCATAGGAAATTTAATAATGGCGAAAACATAGAAGCCATTGGCCCATAGGGAGCGGGGTGACCAGTGTTTATAAATGTCCCGGATCGTCACCCTCCTGCCTCGGCAAGGAACAACTAAAAAAGAAAAACCCTATGGGAAAAAGTGACAAACCTCGGGGACTTTCTCACTCAGATCCAGGACTTCCAGGTTGTAGAACGAGGGCTGAATGCAGAGATAACCTTTGTTTAAATACAGCTGTAATCTGAGCATCTGCTGAGAACTGGTCTGACCCTGACACCATTTTAATACGTGAATGAAATGCGTTTTCACAATGTAGGAAGTGTGTTCAGTTCCTGCCTCTTTTTTAAGTTCTTGTTTTTCTTTGGACTCGTTTTCACATAATGGGGTCACACTTCGAAGACTTTTTTTTTTTTTTTAGCTCCTTCTCTGGGTCAGCTACTTTCCACCCGGGACACTCGTTTGTACAATACTGACTTTCCTTCTTTTTTTTTATATCAGATGTACAGTATATACCTCATGGAACAGTAGTACAGGCCCAGCTCATAAAACATAAAATAGAGTTGTAAGGACTAATTATTTTAATCGCATATCAATCATTACTCAATTTTAGTAATCGATTACCGATTATCATGAACCACTCTTTAAACAGACTTATGTTTACACGCAATATACACTGTAAATTAACTTTCTGTCCTTATCTTTTCGCACTACATGACATTATTGTATACCTTGTACTTATCCGTGCCATTACCTGAAATAATTGAATAAATGAAATTAAAAACATGAATATATACTGAGAGAATTCAAGCCTTGATCAGAAATTGTGTAAATATCTTATTTTCATTCCAAACAACTATTCTAATTTCTGAGCCACAGAAAGCCAGTGCAGAGACCTGAGAACTGGACTAATGCGGCCATACTCCCTGGTTCTAGTCGGGACTTGAGCTGTAGCATCTGCTTTTTACACTATTTTTGATTCTTACTCTAATCAGCTCTCAGCACATAGCATGAAATGGTGACTCACAGGGTTCTTTCTTACAAGTGTGTAAAATATAACATGTTTCAAATAAGACCAAGATGACATGTTGTGGTATGAGCTGTCTGATGGGACTTGACCTTGAACTTGACAAAATATATAAGTGAAAGTATTTTTGCATTCTGCAGTAATACAGTATTGTGAAAACGCCAACTGTGAACTACTTCTCTCTTTTTACAGGTCTGCAGACAGATTTGGCTGGGTCTGTACGACGACAGAACCTTGTCCATACCAGACTTCAGAGAACCACAGAAAGTGAAAGACTTCCTCCAAGAGAAATACGAGAAGAAAAGATGGTGAGAACTGTCCACAGAGCCTCCAGCGCAAACGTGGAGATGCCTCAGTCGTGTGTGCGTAGCTTTGTTTGCATTCCCCGCCTTGGAATGTCCCACACCGCTCCAGGCAGTCAGCATTAAGCAGTCGTTATACTCGAGATACAGTGGGGCAAAAAAGTATTTAGTCAGCCACCAATTGTGCAAGTTCTCCCATTTAAAATAATGACAGAGGTCTGTAATTTTCATCATAGGTACACTTCAACTGTGAGAGACAGAATGTGATAAAAAATCCAGGAATTCACATTGTAGGATTTTTTGAAAGAATTTATTTGTAAATTATGGTGGAAAATAAGTATTTGGTCAATAACAAAAATTCAACTCAATACTTTGTATAATATAACCTTTGTTGGCAATAACTGAGGTCAAACTATTACTATAGGTCTTTACCAGGTTTGCACACACAGTAGCTGGTATTTTGGCCCATTCCTCCATGCAGATCTTCTCAGTGCAGAGCAGTGAACACAGACTTTCAACTCCCTCCACAGATTTCCAATGGGGTTGAGGTCTGGAGACTGGCTAGGCCACTCCAGGACTTTCATATGCTTCTTACGGAGCCACTCCTTCGTTCCCCGGGGGGGTGTGTTTGGGATCATTGTCATGCTGGAAGACCCAGCCACGTTTCATCTTAAAAGCTCTCACTGATGGAAGGAGGTTTTGGCTCAAAATCTCACAATACATGGCCCCATTCATTCTTTCCTTGACACGGATCAGTCGTCCTGTCCCCTTAGCAGAAAAACAGCCCCAAAGCATGATGTTTCCACCCCCATGCTTCACAGTAGGTATGGTGTTCTTGGGATGCAACTCAGTATTCTTCTTCCTCCAAACACGACGAGTTGAGTTTATACCAAACAGTTCTACTTTGGTTTCATCTGACCACATGACATTCTCCCAATCCTCTGCTGTATCATCCATGTGCTCTCTGGCAAACTTCAGACGGGCCTGGACATGCACTGGCTTCAGCAGGGGGACACGTCTGGCACTGCAGGATTTGATTCCCTGTCGTCGTAGTGTGTTACTGATGGTAACCTTTGTTACTTTGGTCCCAGCTCTCTGCAGGTCATTCACCAGGTCCCCCCGTGTGCTTCTGGGATCTTTGATCACCGTTCTCATGATCATTTTGACCCCACGGGATGAGATCTTGCGTTGAGCCCCAGATCGAGGGAGATTATCTGTGGTCTTGAATGTCTTCCATTTTCTGATAATTGCTCCCACAGTTGATTTGTTCACACCAAGCTGCTTGCCTATTGTAGATTCACTCTTCCCAGTCTGGTGCAGGTCTACAATTCTTTTCCTGGTCTCCTTCGACAGCTCTTTGGTCTTGGCCATAGTGGAGTTTGGAGTCTGACTGTTTGAGGCTGCTTCTTAAAGAAGAAGTTACAGGTCTGTGAGAGCCAGAGATCTTCCTTGTTTGAAGTGACCAAATACTCATTTTCCACCATAATTTACAATTTATTTTTTTTTTAAATCCTACAATGTGAATTCCTGGATTTTTTTTCACATTCTGTCTCTCACAGTTGTGTACCTATGATGAAAATTACAGACCTCTGTGCAAGTTCTCCCACTTAAAATAATGACAATCGGTGACTGACGAAATACTTTTTTGACCCACTGTATAGGTCATTCGTAGGAATGCACTGATACTGGTATTGGGTCAATACCATAGACTTGCACTCGTACTCATACCATAGTTGCCATGGTGATCCCAAAGACTGCAGCGAGAAAGCAAGCTAGCTAGCGGCAAGTGGACAGCCGTATGGTAGTTTTTAAAGTAAGTGAGAGTGACGAGTAAAGTCGACTGTACGTTGTGTAAAGCAAACCTGTTACAAGGTGGGTCCAAAACAAACGCATGTATAAAACTAATAATAATAATGACAATAATAATACATACAACTTTCATAGCGCTTTTTTGGACACTCAAAGACACTTTGAGTGGAATAACAGCCACTTGATCAAACATCCGAAAACTCACCACCACAAAGAGTAACCTTTGCTGGCACCGCTGCTATTTCTTTGTACCATTTGTGAATGACAGTGGTTCTTATTGTTAACTGTTGAAACAATTGCTAAAATGTTTAATTGTTAAAGCATTTTCTTATTGTTGAAATGAGAAATAAATACTTGACTTGTAGGTATTCGGTATCGGCAAGTACTCAAATGAAGGTACTTGTACTCGTATCGGTTGGTGGTATCAGTCATTGGTGGTCACTGGTCAGCTGTATTTGTCGCATTTTTAAAAAAACGTTTAAATGATGGTTATAATTATAGTGTCGACTGTGTGAGGTTACATTTTGCTGATGGGAGTCAGAGATTGAGGGGATGTTGTCTTTGCCTCTGCCTGTCACTACATGTCGTGGACATTCTCAGCTGCAAAGGGTTTCTACTGGAAACGCATGTCTGGGAATTTAACTTTAACTTTGAACATTTCATTTTCAACTTTTTCAAATCACCATATAATTATAATGTGTGGGCGTGAAGTAATGGCTGAAGCTTTGTTTTGGATTTAATATTGTAAATTGGAGGCGTATCACACATTAAAAAAAACTGTTTTGACTTGCAATCTGGCATTGGTTTTTATTGAAGTGTTTTCCCGTTAATTTGAATTGTGTACAATAATTGAACCTCAACATATATTTTTAGTCGTTTCTCTTTTAGAAGCTTTGAAAAAAGGGGGTAATGAATGCTTGTCTTGTAATGGATGGATCTACATCTTTTATATGAGAGTTTTTCCCAACTAAAAGTACAATGGCCTTTGATGTCCACAATATTTATGTTTCAGGGTTTTAAGCTGATCAGAGCTGAAGCCTATCAGAGCAGAGTGTGTCTCGTCTGTGGGTTGCCAGTTTGTTTGTTAAAACCAGCTATATTTCAGATTTCACTTTTCATCTTTATCTTTTTATCACAAACCAACAATAGCACTAGGCATTATTTTAAATGAAGCCAATACAAAAACAGGTAGTCATGTAGTACAACTGTTTGTACCGTTTATAGCTAAACCCCAGCAGGTGGATTGCATCGCTTGAATGTAGTCAGTGCTTAGGAGCTACAGGTGTGCCAATTTCCCCTAGTGGGACAATAAAGACAACTTGATCTTGAACATGAATTCACACACAGGACTTCACTCTTTTTATTGTACTGTGATTATGTTAATATCCTTGAGTGATTGTAAGGTTTCTTTTCTTGTTTTATTTAGCACTTTTATTAGCCTACTGTACGAATTATGCTATGCAAATAAACTTGTATATTGACCGGTGTCTTGCAGGTGGGTCCCTCCAGAACAGGCCAAGGTCGTTGCTTCAGTCCACGCTTCCATCTCGGGCTCGTCTAACAGCAGCACGAGCAGCACTCCGGAGGTCCGACCGCTCAAGACGCTTTTGGGAGAGTCTGCACCATCACTGCACCTCAACAGAAGCACCCCACCCAACCAGGTCAGGGCTGCGGACACTTCTTTTATATGTTCAAGTCCCAATTCAGCATCATGGGTTTAAGGATGAGCCACAGTGGTGATTAAAACCAAAGTTATCTGCTCTGTGGTAACTAGGTTTGTGCAAAAAGCAGTAGTATCCAACAGGCTAGCATTAACCCTTTAAGCGCCAAAGTCGCAATATTGCGACAAGCAACATTGCTCACTTAAACAGGCTGTGTGTAAAAATGTGGTGCAGAATCTTGTTAATACTTTTCACCAGGGGTTAGTGGACATGTGTGCCTGTAATATGAGCAGCATTTGTGGGTGTGGTTATATTGAAAGTTTTTGAGTAAATTGAGTTCGTAAAACACCTGCGGCGCTGCAGCGCGGAGGCGAAGCAGCAGCGCGAGAGCAGAGTAGAGGGAGAGAGTGTTTTTTATTTTACTCACGAGGTCTTCAGTACCAGAGAAGTACTTGGTCTGGTACTGGCTCACTCAGATTCAGAGGAGGAAGACACGCAGGTGTCCAGTGAAGCAGACACGGACATTATTGGTGACGGGGAGACCGCGCCATATAGTCCACAATCAGCCCCTGTACAGCGGCTGCTTGTCCTCCGTGTGGCCGTGGTAGAAGCATTCTGTGAACGCCAAGCAGGATCCGTGGTGGAGGGGACAGGGGGATCATAACACCGGGCATGTGGGAGAAAGTAGTGGGGGTAGACATCCACGGGGAACACGGGAGACGCGGGAGAGCCGCGGGGAAAAAACACATCGCTAATTGCGTTCACTGCCTTTACCAACAGCGATGATGAGGATGAAGGCAATTCTTGAGAGAAAATAATCCACAAAAGTGGATCAGAAGTGTTGAAGAGCCTGTTGTATGTTGTTGAGACGATCTGACAAATTCTGAGCCCATTCATTTCATCTCTCTGTTTCTAAACCATAAATCCTGGAGCCTCATTTCCACTGAGAAAAATAGTAAGCCCACTACTTCTCTGAAAGGGAAATATTGAAACCAATCTCCAGATTTCATGACTGTAAACTATAAAGAGTGCTGTCTTGATCACTGAAGGTCTTTGAAAATAATCCAATTCCATATGGCCGCGAACCAGTGCTAAAACATTATCTATAATCTGGATCAGGGAATTTATTTCTATCCCAAATTCATTTCATACTAAAGATATTTCACATTGACTGTTTATAGTATTCCCTGATCTCAAATAACTCCCAAGCTACAGCTTTTTGAAGTCTTTATACAATAATTAACATTTTCCAAAATGGCCGCCGCCTTGATGACGTCACAATATGCAAATTAGATGACGAATCAACTTCCATCCCAAAGTTTGGTTCAAACTGAAGATATTTCTAATTTACAGTATGCCTTTATCTCAAACCATTTTAAAGTTATAGCCTTTTGAAATCTTGAAATCAAAATTTTATATTTTCTTGAAAAAACTCTGGCGCCTAAAGGGTTAATAAATACATTATTTTCTGTCAGTATATTGGTCTATCATGTGACAAATAATGTAAATACAGTACAGACCAAAAGTTTGGACACACCTTCTCATTCAAAGAGTTCTTTATTTTCATGATTATGAAAATTGAAGATTCACACGGAACGCATCAAAACTATGAATTAACTTGCGTGGAATTATGTACGCACAAAAAAAAAAATGAAACAACTGATAATATGTCTTATATAGGGCTGAAACAACTAATCGATTAATCGATGACTAATCGATTATTGAAATAGTCGACAACTATTTTAGTAATCGATTAATCGTTTTCTGGTTCACACGGACTCAAACAGAGCAAAAATGACATGAAAATGTAGTATTTTTGATTAAAACCGACTTTGTTTTTATAATTTCATGAATATCTGTCTGTCTCATCCAATCAGATAGCAGAATTAGCACAAAGAGCCTGTTACAAACATTTACTTTAAGTTTACGCCATCAATACGTCCTCGAGTGTTGCCACTTTAGCTTTTTGTGATGAGAAAATTTTTTTTTTCTACACAATTCACAGCCAAGCGATCACTCGATTAATCGTAAAAATAATCGATAGTTGCTTTAGTCTTATATTCTGGTTCTTCAAAGTAGCACCTTTTGCTCTGATTACTGCTTCACACACTCTTGGCATTCTCTTGATGAGCTTCAAGAAGTATTCACCTGAAAGGGTCTTCCAACAGTCTTGAAGGAGTTCCCATGATGCTTTGCACTTGTTGGCCCCTTCACTCTGTGGTCCAGCTCACCAAAACCATCTGGATTGGGTTCAGGTCCAGTGACTGTGGATGCCAGGTCATCTGGACCAGCACCTCTCCTTCTTGGTCATATAACCCTTACACAGCCTGGTGTGGATCTACAGTAAATGGTCCTGAAAAGAAAGAAAACTCATTGAATGAGAAAGTGTGTCCAAACTTTTGGTCTGTGCTGTATAAATTAATGGAATAGTCTGAGCTCTATGAATCCATTTACACCTGCACTATAATCCGTTCACTTAATTTGGACGGAACTGCTGTGTTTTTTCCTCAAAGCTCTCCACTGTTCAGAAATACAGAACAAAAGAAGCACCTGAGGAAAACTTTCTTTTTTGAATTCTGTGAAGCATAAAATGTGCAACTACACGATACAGCGTTGTAAAGTGGCCTTTTTATCACAGTCATCATGGAGTGGAATTGTCCTATTCTCCATTTGTGACACATTTGAGCTTTGTTTTCTGATGATGTAGGTCAGGGGAGCCCACAGATAGTGAGCAGTGATCTGCACCAGTGTTTTTACAAAAGTAATAAACATTTTGTCTTTATTCATATTTTTTTGGAATTGGAGAAAATACATCTTTGCATGCTTTTTATTATTATTATTATTATTTTATTTCATAGAAGACTTTGTGTTTCTCTAAAGCAGTTTGGTCAAATGTTTTGTCAGATTTCCTCGTTTGATGATAGTCTGTCTAGAATAGTTCATACGTTGTTGCTGTAATTATCTTTTTGGAGTTCTTCTTTTGAATCTAATGTAATGTTTGTTTTAATAGTCGCCAATTGTGAGCCGTGGACAGCCCCACCCACAGCAGTTCCATGACAAGAAGTTTGACCTCCTCAGTGATCTTGGTGGAGACATCTTTGCCGGATCCTCAAACGTCAACGCTGGCGCCAATTCCAGCTTTGCCAACTTTGCACATTTCAACAGTCACACAAGTAAGATGATCTTCAAATCTCATTTACTAATGATACTTTGTTACCTCAAGGGAATCCGGGATTTTCTATTGTTTTTATTGTGGCCCATTGTTCTGAACAATGGGCCACTTTTCTAACAACAGTCTTCTAAAGTCTCCTTCTCCGCGGCTCTCATTGTGACTGTATTTTTTACTGAACGCACCTGAGCGACACAGGGCTGAGCGCAGCTTCACTTGTGATCAGTCCGCACGCTGCAGATGCCGCATCGCTCTTAATCTGTTCCCACAAGAGAAAGCTGTGAGCTCCGCATCAGCGCTGGGGCCTGACGTCAGATCAAAGCCACGGTGCAAATCTGTTCCACAGTAAAAACATCTGCACTGTCCCCACAGGCTGCCCGTGTGTGTATGTGACGCCTTGTTGGTTTAGACCTGGTTTAGACCCGGTTTAGACCCGGTTTAGACCCGGTTTAGACCCCGTTTAGACTCTGGTCCTGTTTCAGAGTTTCTGTATACGCGGTAGGCAGAAACCACGTGCACAAAACGCATAATTAAACGTTAAATTGTGCTTCTGTTGGCTATATTCACGTTCATAAAATCATTACATCAACATTTGCACGATTCAATGTTAAGGGATCCTTTTTCGTCTCACTGTGGGAAAATCACAGGTTACAGAACAGTAGGAATGAAGAGTGCACAAGATAAGTGCATATTAAGTATAGCCATACTCAAAATAAAAAACACGTATGGTATATGTCTATCTTTAGATTAATGAAGAAACAAAAGCTTTTTAGATTTCTGAGAAAAAGTCCGTCCATTGATTCCATCTTAAGTATCTTGGAAGTCTTCACTCATCGCCTCGGAGCCTCGCAAAAACCCCTTTGCTCCGGATCCTGTTTGCACTGGCATTGATGTGGACAAGCATTAGCACACTGAACTTTATCAGGGTCATGAATGATTTAGATCTAAAAGACTTTATTTCCTTCTAATGCAGTGAACTAAAAAAACAAAACAAAAAATATGTGTTATATTTTTGTTTTTTGTTATTGAAATACTGCTGCAGCAGTTGGAGCATTGTGTGCGTAGAACTGATTAAACAACATGACACTGTTTGAAGCTGGATTACCTCACTTTGTTTTGTGTCATGAATAGAGTTTGCCCCAACAGAAAGTTTAAGAAAGATTTTTTTGAAGAAATCAGACCCATCCATCCATCCATCCATTTTCTACCCTTTAATCCATTTCTGGGTCAGGGGGGTGGCAATCAGAGATGCCACCCAAGTCTCATAGCACCAGCCCCTCACTGACCCTCTGCAGGTGGTGAGTCCACAGGAGGACGGCTGCTCTCTGAGTGTGAGCATAGCCTTTATCTTTCAGTGGGGGCTTTGGGCAAAGTGGGGTTAAGTGTCTTGCCCAAGGACACAACGACAGCAGTCATCAGTGGGAGTCGGTGGAGAAGGTGTAGAGGTGGGAATTGAACCCACGACCTTCTGGCCTTAAGGCCAATGCTCTACCAACTGAGCTACTGTCGCCCCCAGAAATCAGACCACTACAGAAAACATTTACATACCAAAACATAGGCCAAGCATACAGGCATGTAAAAAGGTTACCAAACAGTTAGGACTAGTTGGAGAAAGGCATGACTACGTCCGCTAATTTTTACAATCTATCTCCGCCGTTCAAACTAATGGGCCAAAAATTGTGCTCTACTGGAGCTATCCAAAATTGCAGCGAGTGGTCCCGCCCACAAGAAATTTATGAAAAAAACGCATCTGCGCATGCGTCAGCCGGCGAGAGCTCCATTCATTTGAACGAGAGACTTAAAAAATTCACAGAGTAAACTAGAGTGGACCAAAAAAATTCACCCCCCTCAGCATTGACACACATGTGGAACGGAGCTTTGGGCCAAGAGCCAACTTTTGGACCATCCTGTAAAGACGTTTTCGAGAGGTCTGTCAATGCTATATGTTAGCATTGGCTTATTCTACTTCTGGGTCCACCCCCATCGGCCCGGGGTGGTATTGCAGCATGTCAGCGCACGTCATTTTGGCCACTTTTGAGCCGGGACCCGCCCCCACTGGTTGGGACTAGTTGCATAGATATTAGGTAATGCTAATGCATTATTAAAATATATATATATATATATATATAAACTCCACTTTTATGATAAATACTATACTAGAAAGCCACGTTCTTTTGAGCTGAGGTTAAAGCAGCACACTGAATCTTTCGTTCTATTGGTGTTACAATCGTAAATGATAACGATTATCGGGAAAGGAATGCCAGATTGTCACCGTGCTCCCAGGGATGCACAGAGCTGCTTCCTTAATTTGTTCATGCTGTGTAATGTTCTCCCACTTCCCCTTTACCATACCTGCACGCCACCTTTTTACCCCAAGAAAGGTAATCTATGTGAATCATGTAGAGCGGCAATAACAATATGGTGGGGCTGCAGACGGTACAGGCTCAGGTTTCCTTATGTAAAGCGTAATGTTTGGAATTATATTTTCTCATTTACTGTGTATGGCATAGAAGTGACTACTGATAGAAGTCAGTCGGCATGGTGACGTAAAAAGTCTGTTGGCAAAGATGTTTTATCTACTTACTTACCTACAACAAAAGTAGGCTGTGTTCTGAAACGCAGGAATGTTCATTATTTTAGAATAAAAACCCTGTATGAAGCGTAGGCTGAATGTTTTTTTTCTTTTTTTTTATGTATATAATTTTGAACACTGCAGACAGTTGTTGGGTCAAATGCAGAGGACAAAGTTTCCTACGGGGACAATAAATAATAAGACCCAATACAGTAAATCTCCCCATGTCTCATTCATTTATTCATCCATGTATTTTATTTCAACCATGCACAAGATACACAACATTTTAACACACACAAAAATAGAATGAAATAAAATAATATAAAAACAAATAATACCTTTTACATGGTTTGAAATGGGTTGGGATGAAACAAAAAAAGCGTATGTTCATCCAATCCCCTTCCAGCCATTCAGACACACAAGAATACAAAACACAAACAAGAAGCATAATATGACGGCCACATTGACACTGATGGCATTAGACGGGTGTCATTCCAGCATCATACTCTTATCATACCCTTAGTCTCCCATATTGCATTCAAAACACTCGATTTCCCAGTTCTCACCACCTCATTGTTGTTGTCTTGCATAGTCATGTGTCCTCAGCGACCACCTGACATCTCACCATTGTTGTTGTCTCATGTGTGTTTCTTTTGTTCTGTCACTTCATCCACCCCCAGCACCTCAGGCCGGCAATGCTAACGCAGACTTTGCTAACTTTGACACATTCGGAAACACCGGTGCATCATCAGGTGGTTTCCCCGCTGCACCGCCTTCATTTCCAGCTCCAAACACAGGTATAGTCTGCAAACTGTCGCGTGGCAGTTGAGAAACGTGCAGCTATCATTTGGAAAACCCACAGCTATTTATACCATGAGCAGTATTATAGTTGACGGCCATTTTGAAGGAGAAGAATTATGCAAAATTTACTTTTTTAAACAAGTTACAACATTGTCAGGAACAGGCACATGTAACTCCTCCACTTCTATCATTGTATGACTATAGCCCTGTTTCCACCAGCCCTCCTTGGCTTTACTCTACTCTACTCTACTCCAGCTTTAGTATCTTGTACCGAATCCCCCCCCCCCAAATGTATGTATGATTGTTAACAAAAAAAGAAAATGACCAAGTAAATAGTCCCGTTATTGTTATTAATAGCTAAGTAATGCATAATATTTCTTCTTCAGTAGTCTGGCGTGGTTAGCTTTAAGTAGACCAGGAAAACGGGTTCTATCATAACCCTACAGAAGATTTACAAAGCACAACATAAATAATTGTTATGCTTCTAATAAAGAGAAATCTCTCTTTCTTGGCAACCACAGTATTACTAAAGCTACTACCAACACGTAGAGATTGGGTTTTAAAACACAATATTGTATTATTACTCTACATTTCATGATCCTGATCAGTTTCATATTTCTCATCTGCCTTTCCTGTCAGTCAATCTAAACCTCTTCATATATCCCTGCACTCTTCAAAGCACTGTACTTTCTTCTAATTCTGTAGCATAGGTATGGGCTGTAGCGCCTCCTGCTGGGTAACGAGAAATCATCTCATGCTTTAGATGATTACTGTGGTTCTCAGATATTGTAATGCTCATTTTAAATGGTGGCCTTCAATTTAAAGTTAGTTTGAAGTTAGTCCACTTAAGAAAGCAGCAAACGAGTAAAACACTGGTTAACACTATCCCAAAGCACGGCTCTGTTTGTGAAACCCTTTTCATGTTTTATTCAGTTTTTATTCAGTTTTTTTTTTTAATCTAAGTTTGGTATTATTATTTTTTCCATTTGCTTGACCACTTGACCTGCCTCATTGCTTCATGTTTCTGTCCTTTTCCACTTTTTGTTTTGGCTGGCAGCCTTCACTGTGCTCTCATCCAGCCGCAGTGTGGGTGAGTTTGGTTCTGCTCTGCCTCTGCAGGCAGCTCACAGTAAGTCCTGCCCTTTGCTTTGTCCTTCTGTCTGGTGGACTTCTCACTGTGTGTGGCATGTGTTTGTGTCCTCTCCTCTCACTGTGACCTTGCTGCTTTACTTCACAATGCTGTTTTTCCTAAAATGACCACATAATAGAAACTTGGAGCAGCAGGATGTGTTCTTGGATTGGGTTGATGGAAGTAATGACTCGCGTGCACGTGTAAACATGCAGAGGTGCTTTCTCCCTTTGGCAGGCAGGGACATTTATGTTCAGTCTCATCGATCGACAGTATACATTGATTACTGATACTATGATTTTTTTTAATCAATGTAGAAGGGAAGGGATTTATTATAACATTAAGCAAATATAAAGACTGAATAGAACTTGTTTTTTTGTTCAGTTTTTTATATTTATTTATGTTTACACAATGCATGCATAAGAAAATATATCTAGACAATGCATATATACGTAAATATAGACAAGACAAGCAAAAATGCGAACATGTGAGTGTGTACATGTGTCTGTTTGAGGATTGGGCATTGGTAATTCTACAAAGTAGAAAAGTGCATTACACAGACAACATTACAACTTGTATCCTGTCATAATATTGGCTGCCTTCCTTAGTACTTCCAGTCTTGCAGTACTCACTCTGCCTGTACAGTGCTTATTAACTCTTGGTCACAGTCTCTTCTATCTCTAAACACGAGTCTTATTCGGAACATTAAATAGATTCCGTTTATGATTTTAATTTCTCTTTTTTTACGCAGGTAGCACCTCAGAGGGACTAGGAAATGCAAATTTGGCAAATTTTGACAACTTCCCCAAATCGTGTAGTGCTGACTTTGGATGCTTCAGCTCCTCCTCCCAGAGTAACTCCACAGGAGCTGGCAGCGCAGCTGCAGAGAGTAGTGACACTGCTGCTGATAAATACGCAGCGCTGGCTGACCTGGATAACATGTTTAGCTCTGGCATAACGGAGCCAGGTAAACTACTCCTGCCTAGCCTGAAAACTCTTTCTGCTCAGTTTGATGGAGTAAACTTATCACTAAATAACTCGTTCAGAGAAGCTATTCAAAAGACATGCATGGATTTTATCGGAACACTTGATTTGAACAATAGCTTTGTATTCACACTGGCATTATTCTCTTATGTTAAGATGTATATACATATATTTATTCCAACTTGCCCTTATTCTAAGGTTGAAAATGGCAGCTACCCTGGATTTTGTTAGTTTGTTCCTGTGGCTGACTGAGTATGTGGGTTGTGTGGTTTTACTTTAGGAGGTGGTGTTCCAAGTAACACAAGCACAAATGCAGCTGCAGCTCATGTGGCCCAGATGCCTGTGTCAGGAGGAGACCGCTATGCTGCTTTAGCGGAGCTGACCACTGGATTCAGCACAGCTGCTCCTGCCAGTGTCTACAACAGCACCAGCACCTCACACAGGTGAGCCCCATCCTCCTCTCACTCACTGTGAATCATACATCCTTTATTTCATACTTCTGTTGCTTTTTCTGCGTCAGTGTTTTTGCCTCGGACAGCGGCGCTCCATCAGCTCAACCACAGCAGGTCATGCCTGCTTTGGCTCCTGGGTTTGGAGGTAATATAGTGTATTTTACTTCCATTGATGCTGTATTCACACATTCTTCTCAACTGCGTTATGCTCCCACAGCTCAATCAACAAATCCTTTTGTAGCTGCTTGCAGTGGCCCTTCTGTAGCTCCCACCAACCCATTTCAGAGCAACGGTCGAGCACTTAATGCAGCAGCAACAGCCGGTATGAAGGAACATGTATTTATTTCACAACTTTTTCAAAACAAATGGCAGAGAAACCGTGTTATGTCTCAAGCTTGTAGTTGGGAGATTGTTTCGTTCAGTTAGTGCCCAACAGACCCTGGGGCCCCCGCAATGTTGTACAGGAACCTGTACAACAATGACTGAAGACCTCTTCAGCTGAGATGTTCAGGGGGAGCAGAGGGCAGGGGCCAAGTACCTCTGGGAACCTCCGACACAGTATAATATATAATTAATAGTGTCTCCTCAATTAAATTATTGACTAAATTTGATAAAAAATTGTTCTTGATCCAAAATGTATCCAGATGGACTATATTCCTTCTATTTTGATGTTCTTTTGGGGATTATTTTTGTAGGTCAAGCATATTCAAAAAATTACTTTAATCTATTTTTGAGACCACGTTTGTATTTTAAAGCCTCTAACCCCAGATGCTCTTTATACTAAATGAAAACTTGTATTGTACTAGTAGTAATAATACAAATGTTAAAGGTTTGAAGGGTAGAATGGCTTGAATGATTATGCCACATTAAGAATGTTTATGCTACATAATCATTCAAGCTAAAGAGTGAAAGTCAGCTTTTGAGCTGACTCTTGGAACCCAAAAAGGCTTGAACCGGCTCTGGTGCTCTAAGTTGGAAATCATGACTTTGGATCAATAATGTTCTCCACGGAGCAGTAACCCGTGCTTGTGTGTGTGTTGCAGCGTCCTTCGGCACAGTGTCCATGAGTATGCCGTCAGGATTTGGTAACTCCGCTGGTTTCAACCTCCCGACCAGTTTTAGTGGAACTTTCCAACAGCAGTTTCCTGGTCAAGCTCCTTTTCCTCAGCCGCCTGCATATCCACAACAACCCAACGGTGAGCACATCTGCGTACAGCATCCACATATCTGAACACATATTTATCATGTCGGGATTATGTTTTACTCTATTGTTTTAAGTGGACTTTTACAGAACATCAATTGTTATAAAGTGTAAAATATTTTTTTTTAGGTGGATATCCCGGCTACATTCAAGCAAAGCCCGTGATGACTCCGTTTGGGCAGACAATGGCCGGACCAATGGTTTCAAGTAATCCATTTCTTGTAAGTATGCTTGTTAATCATGGTTAGGGTTCATCACAAAAGGTTTATAGTAACGCTAATCGCAAGGTGCCGTGAATTTGGGATTAGGTTTAGGGTAAACCTCATCTGCTACAAGCTCATGACATTTCATTTCAAAGCATATGCGGTTGTGCTTGGAAGTTTACTCCCCCTTGCAGAAATTATTATCGCTCGAAAAATAACTTGCAATAAGGAAAATCTTTGAAGTGTTTTGAGGCTGTAGAACCCCTCACCCATATATTTTTTCAAACCACCTGAACTCACGACTGCTGAAGTGCGATCTTGGACATATCAAACCTGTTGTCGTAGGTCTGTGCGCTGCTACAGCTGTCAAAAGCCGTGCCTACAATATGCATATACTGGCATCAAAAACTACCAAAGAGACCCTGACCTGAAGTCTCCATCCCCATGTACAACGTCTATGCTCAGCTTGAAGTCTTTTGTGGTAGCAGTGGATGAGGTGCTTGCTACTGTGTAATGGTCAAGCTGCCATTCTTCTTCTTATGGAAAACTGGGGCGGCTCAATTATGTCTTAGTTTGAAAATAGAAAACACAAATGCGTACTGTATTTGGCAATATATGGCTACACATAACCACCAACAATGTGTGGGAGAAGTGTTTTTGTGAAAATACAAGACCAAAACAATGACATATCAAAGGGTGGACACTTTCAAGCTCAAACGTATTTGCACATTATTATCTGTTTACACGCATTGATTGCAGTTTGTTATATTCTGCGTACTGTAAAATGATTGTTGTATTGTGTTTTCCACAGGGTGCTGGGCCATCGATGCAGTATCCCGCTGGAGGCTCTTCCACAAACCCCTTCTTATAGCGACCCGCGCAGAGAGGCTTCACTACAGGGTCAATGATGGCGCTTGCACCTATTGCACTGTTTTCTTTTACAAGTAGCTTTAAAAGAGTTTGTAAGGATTTCTATTTTCTATGACCTGAGCGCGTGCAAGGGGCTGCGGCTACACGACGGAGTGCGTGGCGTTCGCTGAGGGAGGGGTTGATTCCCTCCTCCTATTTAACCTGTGAACTGGCTTCTTCTGAGCCACAATGTCAAAGGCTGAAACTTAAGTTATTGTATACAGTACATCCTATTCATTATGCTGCATTTCTGTACATATTTTGCAAGAAAATAATCTTTGTGCATATCAGTATTTGTATCCAAGACGGATGACTATTATTGCCTCTGAAGAGCTATCGGGAACTGCCATCAACGCATTTGTAAAAAGAAGAAAAAAAACACAAAAAACATCCTATCTAAAGCTGTGCACATGTTAAAACTGCTTATTGTAAAGATGAAAGCTGTGAGATGCGGGGAAGGGCGGGGGAAGGGCGGGTGACTCCCTTCTTTGTGACTGCTGTGGTTCTGAACTACAATCCAACCACACAGGCTGGAAACAGGAATTGCTTTTGAACTGAAAACCACTTTCATGATATAATTTTAAGTTAATGTGTAAATATATACAGTATATATAAAAATGGATTTTAAGTTAAGACCGACCAAATTGTTCATTGACATTGAAATGTGACATCTTGTAACAATGTTTTGTATAAAAAAGAGCTTTATATGCATTGTGATTGTTGTCAATAATTTATTTACCCATGTTAGAATCTGTCCTCCTGTGGAGCTGGCAGCCGTCTGAGCGACCAAATCACATAAAGGCCTCGCAGAGTGAAGATGATGGCAATGACTGCGAAATAACTTGCATAGATAGTAAACTGAAAAGAGAAAACGTAGAAAGACAAATGTATAGCTGAGTTCTTAAAGGTGCTGTACCTACTACGTTTGGTTCGATCCAACAGAAAGAACACAAGTCTTACTCATTCACAAAACATCTCATGCACACATCTCTCTTTTCTGTCTAAATATGTGACAGACACTGAAAACTAGTGATGGAACCAAACTGTTTTGAGAATGATTAACTATATGGATTTTACTGCAGACATTACATTTTGTGGTTTGAATGTTAATGACCTCGGTAGATAGATTTGCATTTATAGTCCCCCAACCTGTGTCTTACAAATTAAAAACCCCAGCTTTAATTTACAATCCAGTATGATCAGAATATTGTAGCCTCACCTGTGGAATGATGCCTAATCCCAGCCCTGCACTGTCCACAACCACCGACACCAGGACCGTCTGCAGAAGCAACGCTCCGAAGGTGTTCACGCCAAACACTAGTGCGTATCTCTCCATCGATAATCCAGCCGCAATCTGAAACCTTCACCCAACAACTCTTTTATGAATATCATACATGCTCTATATCAGTCCGCTCCTGCCCTCATCCCTCATGGCCACTGTCAAAAAAATTAAATGAGGTACAAAATGTTAAAATCGAGTTTGGGCAGTTCACCGATTGGAAAAAAGCAAAACCTTTTTTATATTGTCTCTTTTGAAGACATTTTTGCTTGTCCTCATCTCGTTTTAAAGGCCCACAACATGTACTAAAAGCAAGATGCATTTTAAAAATTACTTTATGTACACAATATACTGTATATTATTTCCTAGTTTGGGGCCGTCTTATAGTCCTGCTTTACACCTGGTTGGTAGGACTGGTAGTAGTCCAGTCCTGTTTTTGTTTTACTCGTTTAGCATTTACAAGAATATAGCAGATCATGTAGAATTGTAACTGGTGACGAAAGTGGTGATTCCTCATAAGGATCAAAGTTATAACAAAGGCTTGACATTTCACTTCAATTTCAAGCATGACCGATATATTCAAATTTTCAGAGATTCACCTGTTTTAATTTTCTATTGTGGCACCACCTGCATGTGAAAACCAGTTTCTATCAGACCTATGAAGCTAAGCAGGGAAAGGCCTGGTTAGTAGTTTGATGGGAGAGTTCTGGGAACAACAGTTGCCACAGCGGGGTGGCTGTAAAGTGCTAATCTGCCGCTGTGTCCTTAGGCAAGACATTTCACCCACATTGCCTGGATTAGAATGAGTCTGGTGTGTGAGAAAATGGTTGATGGTGGTTGTAGGGGGCTGATCGCCTCACTTCTGTCTGTTTGCCCCAGGGCAGCTGTGGCTACATGAATAGTTTATCCCCACCGTTTATGGAGTGATAATTCAATCTGAAGCGTCTTTGAGGGTCCAAAAAGGTGCTATGGATCTATAAAACCCATGCTTTATTATTATTAGGCCGAGCCAATACGAAGTATTGGGGAGGCCTATTGTTATTCACCGGTTTCATATTATTCTTTTTTTTCCGCATCTTCAATTCGATTTTTGACCCTGAAGACATGCACGAAAGTCTGCACATGGGGGGTCTAAAACGACCGGTCCGGCGAAAAATTTGATAAAATGAACGTTTCCAGATTGTCCGACGCTCGCCGACTCTATAACGCCCCCTAGAAATTTCATTTTTTTTGACCCTCTGGGGATTTTTTTTCAAATATTGGAGTAGGTACACGAAATTCGGATGAGTGATAGATCTCTATGAGACGAGCATAAAAGCCGTTCTAAGCACATGTCTGGGACCGACAGGAAGTCGGCCATGAGGGGCCGAAGTTTCGCCACTAATTTGACTTTTCATTTATAAATTCGAACTAGTCCCTGGTTTTTCATCACACAGAGTTCTACCACGTAATTTCCCGCTCTGGACGGATTGAAGTTATATAATCATCGAAAAAAAGTTAGAAAATCTTCACCGTTTTCGTCCCTCGCCATGGCGAATAAGGCCTTCGTTTTGGCCATTTTCGCTGAGCCCTGAGGGCCACAGGCTCAGACCTACAGAGCTGAGACTCACATCAGTAATATTAGGTTATGGCCTGAACGCAATGACACTAAAATCATTCGCCCAATTTGAGCTCTTTAGCGCCACCTGTCGGAAAGTAATAGGGCACTAGTGCTCGGATCGGCCCGAAAATCGCTGAGTGTATTCTCTGGACCGACACGAGCAAAACATTACATTACGCAAAAGTTGTAAGTCCTACACCTGACCACTGGGGGCGCTGGAAAGTGAATAAATGAGCTTTTTAGGGCAAAATGTTTGTCCGATGAGGCTAAAAATGAATTCAGAAATACAACGTATGACCCTGAACACAACGATATGCAACACACAACTGTGAGTGCAACAGCGCCACCTACAGGCAGTTCAATGTGTTGCATTTTTGGCTTCGTACTAGTCCCTGGATTTTCATCGCACAGACTTCTACCATGTCATTTCTATATCTGGACGGATTGAAGTTATGTAATCATCGCATAAAAGTTAGAATTTTGTTATCGTTTTCATGCAAGGTAGTGGGGAATTTCTCCATGTTTGATGCTCTCCTGACCACAGGCTCAGACCTACAGAGCTGAAACTCACATCACTAACAGTTGGTAATGGCATGAGAGTAATGGTGTGAAAACACACACCTAATATGACTCTACAGCGCCACCTATGTAAGGCTTCTGACCTAAACTTTTCCGATCTTCACCAAAGTTGCAAAATCAAATCTTTACATCTGTACGAGCAAAATACTACTCTACGTAGAGGGTGCATGTCCCGGAGGTGACCACTAGGGACGCACTTTATCATATAAATGAGCTTTTATATATGTAATCCTGGTCAGATCGGGCTGCCAATTCGTCTGCGTGACGCTTGTGGGACTGGCGCCCAGGAGGCGGTCGCAAGAGGGGCGAGGCCTTTCATCGCCGCTTGCGGCTTTAATTATTTTTGATATTATTTTCAATACTTACATGGCTATCGTTATGAGCAGCATGTAGAGACTCTTGAAGACCACATATCCTGCATAGCACACCCAGATGTTTCCTATGAAGGTCATGAGGAGGAGAGATGCTGCTCCCAGTGCAGAGAAGCCCCCCAGGGCCAGCTCCCCCCAGTGCTCCCATGTCACCTCAGTGAAGCCCACACCGTACGCTGTGGCTGCACCTGTACACCGAGGATTTGTAATGTCTGAGGAAATGATTGACATTATGGTCTGTATTTCGTACTTAAGAGGTTAGAGACGGCCTCCACTCCGCCGTTGTAGATGCTTGAGTTCTGAGAGGGCTCCACGTGTTCCCACAACACCTGAAAGAAAGCATTGGAGGCAATTTAGTTTAGGCTTTTATTTAGTTGAATTATTTCGAGCTTAAAGAACAACTTTTATACATTATATTTGACCATTCAGACTTTTCATTTCATGCTTTAGAACAGCGGTGTCCAACCTTTTTCAATCGAAGAGCTACTTTCATACAAACGAAGAGACAGAGAGCTACTCTTTTTTGCAGTCGTATTAATAATCTATCTAATAATTACGACAAAACATGGAGAACACATACGTATACCATAATGCTGTGTAACCCAATACTTACAGTAGATATGTAATGGCTCAAAAAGTATTAATTGAAGATCATTTGCTAAATTCTAAATCCGTTGGCGAGCTACCTGAAAGGGGCTGGCGAGCTACTGGTAGATCCCGAGCCACAGGTTGGAGATCCCTGCTTTAGAATGTGAAATCATATCTTTTAGCAAATATGGTGAAACGAGTATCAAGGATAAAAAAGGGGTCTGTAACTCCCTAAGCTACCACCAGAGGGAGGAATGAAGTTTGTTTTAATTTTTTATTTTTTTTTCAAACATACCGGGTGGAAACACAGACATGTGATTGTAAAGAATTTACATTTACTCCAAAAAAAAAAATCCAAAACTATCTTAAGTTTATAAAGCCAGAAAACTGAGTATTACCAGACTGAGACTAGAGCTTTCTGATATTAGCTTGGATGAGTCTAAAGACAACTCCAGGTCTGTTTTTGAGAAAGATAATTCAAAGACAGAAAAGTGAATTAGAGAGGACCACCCCCACTCAGCTCTCATCCTAAAATCCACAGTGGTAAAATGTTGTGTTGCATCACAAGTTAAAAAAACAAGCTAAATGAATAATAACTCTATTCTAAAATAAAAAAGTAGGCAAAAGAAAACATGTTTTAATTATTAGATGAAGACAGAATGTTGTGGTCTGATTTGTTCACAACATTCTCTTTCTGTTCGGAGAAAAACTCAAAATAGTTAGATACCCCAGCTTTAATATACTACATATAAATCTTTATGTTTTTGTTGTTATTTTTGGACTGACCTGCACATAGTTGACGGTCTGATTGTAGCCACACGTCGCCATCGCCCACCAAACGGACCAGCAGAGGAGAGATCTGGATGAGTAGCACTCTTTCAAATCCTTCCCCAAAAGGCAGAGGACTTTAGGCAGACTTTTTCTTCTCCAGCTGTTTTCCTCCTCCTCTTCATCACCTCCTCCACTTTTAATCCCTGTATCTTTGCTGTCACTGGAATCGTCTTCAGCTGGAGGTTTTTTATGGTGAAAGAAAAAGCTGTTCTTTGGCATCGGCAGCAGGAGAGATGAGAGCATGGCCAGAGCACTGAGGACCATAGTCATCAGCAGGATGTTCTGGAACGACATCAGCTCCAGACTGACCAGGAGCTGTCCCAGGACCGCTCCCACCGTGTAGCCCAAAAGCTGCACGCTGCGGCTGCAGGAGGTGGCCTTCTTGAACCTCTTCACTTCGATGACGCTGGGAGAGAAGAGTGATAGGGTTAGGGTGGAAGTGCATAGACAGCATTTCAATTCAATTTGTTTTTCTACAGCACTAAATCACAACAGTAGTTATCTCTGAGGACATTACAAAGTTGCTGATTCGCCAATGTAGATCAGAGAAACATGCAGTAAAAATAGAGGAAATACAATCATTTAAAAAACAATCAATAATCCATAAGGAGCAGATGACCAATGTCCATTAATGTCGTTAAATGTCCTGGATCATTTCCGTTGTCCCTAGACACTCCTGCATTGGCAAGGAACAATTTATTATTTATTATTCATTTTATATTTATTTTTCCAGTTGGTTTTAAATCTCTCCGTTACAACCTAGTTCTCAAAAAGATTACCTCGAGCCATCATGACAGTTTAAACATTAAAATGCAACTACATTAGTTTGCAACTGCAAACTATTGACCTTTATTAAGATTTCAGAATTTCTTCCTCACAACAGTTTTTTTTTTTTTTTTTTCTATACTGTAAATATAATAACCAAGATGTTTGAACAGAACAGAACCTCGACACATGCCACATCTGTTCCCGACATGGAAAGAAATGTGTTTAATTTACCTTACACTGGGTAACCTAAGCTATTATTACAAAAAAGGCAGGATTATTATGTTGTAATGACATGTCTAACCATGCACTCTGATTCCCACTGGTCTCTCTCTCTCTCTTGTCTCTCTCGCTCTCTCTTTGGTCTCTCTGGTTTTCTCTCTCACTCTCTCTGGTCTCTCTTTCTTTCACCATAAAAAAACCTCCAGCTGAAGACGATTCCAGTGACAGCAAAAATACGGGGACTAAAAGTGGAGGAGGTGATGAAGAGGAGGAGAAAAACAGCTGGAGAAAAAAAAGTCTGCTTAAAGTCTTGCTGGTCTTTCTCTCTCACTCTCTCTGGTCTCTCTCTCTCTCTCTCTTTGGTCTCGCTGGTCCCTCTCATAGTCTTTCTCTCTGGTCTCTCTCTTTGGTCTCTCTCTTTGGTGTCTCTCTCTCTCTAGTCTCTCTCTCTTTGGTCTCGCTGGTCCCTCTCATAGTCTTTCTCTCTGGTCTCTCTCTTTGGTCTCTCTCTTTGGTGTCTCTCTCTCTCTAGTCTCTCTCTCTTTGGTCTCGCTGGTCCTTCTCATAGTCTTTCTCTCTGGTCTTTCTCTTTGGTGTCTCTCTCTCTCTGGTCCCCCTCTTCTCTCTCTCTCTTACCCTGGACTCACTAGAGGAAATGGGTGGAGTCTGTTGTGCTTTTGCTCTGGACTACAAACCTGCATCCTCTCCTGGAACCAGACTAAAACCCTGCTCTAAAAACCCGAGGATAGAAACACTCTCACACCTGTAAATGTATGAAAAATATGCCACATCACACGCCGTCACGACCCCATAGAAGAACTGCATGGCCTGCATGGCTGCCACACTGCTCGTCCAGTAAAGTAAAGCGGTGGTGACCAACAGAGACACGCTTTGGAAGAAGACCACGGGCTTGTACCGCAGCCAATCCGTGAGCAGGAACACCGGCACCAGCACGGAGATGTAGGAGTATGTCCAGACCGGGAGGATCTCATTGTTGACCTGCCAGCATCAGAATAAACACATGTTAAGTTTTTTTTTCATAGCAGGGAACAGAGAAGATAAACCTTTCTTCATCCCTCAGTGGGGAAATGTCAATGTATTCCTCATGTACATTACAAACAGGATCTATAATTTAAGATAGATAGATAAATAGGTACTTTATTAATCCCCGTAGGATAAATTGAGATGTCCAGGTGCAGTAGAAACACATCCATCCATACAAACAAAACAAATAATTACATACTTCTAAAAGTAGCTAACAATATATAAAATACAATAGATAATACAACAAAATGAATTTATAATGATGTCATAAAAAAAAAATCTGGAGCTATAATTGCATTTGGTTCAAGGATAAGTCACTTGTGGATTATACAGATATGACCAGAATTAAAAACAGTAATATAAGCAGCCGGTAAAGTGACCAGTGAATGGAATATGTGATAAAGTAGTAATAATATAGCTGGTAAAGTGACTACTAGTGGATTATTGGAACAAGTGAATGGCATACAGTATGTACAGACTCAGCAGTTCTCATTGTACAGTCTGACAGCAGCAGGAATGAAGAACCTGCATAACAATTACCTGCTCTGTTGTTAAGTTCTTGTCCGGGCCGGTCAAGAATGGTATGAGGAAAGGCTCCAGAGGTTTAACAGTGCTGAAAAATCCATACATGCACAAAAGGCCAGTGGCAAACCTCCAGTCCGACTTCCACCCTCGCCAAAGCCTGACTGGATCCATCTCAACCCTGACTGTTTTTTGGACGCTGTTTTTTCGCACAAGTGGAGAAAAAACAAGCAAAACTTGTTCACCACTTTTTCGTCTTGAGGTGTCAGTTAATCAACAACTAGCAGTGGTCATGGTTCAACCACCTGCTCTTGAAGCAATGAATGAGGTAATATCATAGATGGATAGATAGATACTTTATTAATTCCCGTAAAAGAATTTCCGGTGTCCAGCAGCAGAAAACACATCCATGTAAACATCAATTATAAACATTTCTAACTAACTAGCATGTCTAACTACCTAACAATAGTGCATTTTTTTTAAACTCATACAGGTCTGTTGTAGCTGAAGGAACATAGGATTTCTTAAAACCCTGCATTAGAGCCCTCATCCTTCTCTCCAGCACAGCTCCCACAGAGTCCACACTTCTCCCCATCACACAGACACATCTCCTGATCAGCCTGTGGAGCTGGTTACTGTCTCTCCAGGTCAGACTGCCCCCAGCATGCAAGCCCAAAGGACACGGCACCAGCTACAACAGTGTAGCAGAGCAGGACGGGTCACAGCAGCAGAGGGGGTGCAGCCAGGAAAATGTGTCCTCTGCATTTGGCCCATCCTCCAATGCTCTAATCCTCTGTCATGGTGTGGATTTAGTGATTTATTTTGAGAATAGTTCTTCAATAGTTTTTAGTTTTACTTCCTGTCCCGTTGGATTTCGATGTTTGTTCTTTTCCCTGGACTTATTATTTATCTATCTATGTATTATCATTCAATCTATTTTTTTTTCTTGCATTTTGGGTTCTTCCTTTATCTCACCCCATGTGACACTATCTCCAGATGTTGTTGCTCATGGTCAGGACCAGAACTGAAATGTTTTGCATCTTGTAGCGAGTGGCAGAGGAAACCGGAGCACAGGGAGGGAACCGGAACAGACTTACAAACTGTCTGAAGCTAGGGCCTTCTTCTGCTTCTTCTCAGCCACCGTGCTGCCCATATGAGAATATGGTATATACAAGTTTATTATCATTTTGATTTTGGCTTCCAATCCATTTTAAAAGATTAAAATGTTCATAAAATGTTTTATTTGGGGTTTTCAAAGCTTTGAGTCAAGGATCAACTTTATAACACAAAAGGCTTGATGTATACCTATCAGAAGTTAATAGACTTTTGAACGATATTCTATTTTTCTGAGTTTCACCTGTATAATATGAGCCACCATCCATCAATAGCTTCTTTTATTTTACAGGATAAAAGAATAAAATAAAAATGCGCATTTGCTGTTTACAATGTATGGTCCTTGTTGTAACTTTGTTCGAAACACATGTTATAAAACAAGATGTAACTTTCCCGATCGTCTTTTTTTGCTGGTCCTTAAAACCGCTCCTCGTCGATCACCTTCACACAAGAGTCTTTTTCTTCAGATTGACTTTGATTGGTGCAGGCTGTGTACACGCCACGAATCAGGAACAAGGCCGAGATGAGTCCGTAGTAACTGCCATAGATCAGGAACTGCAAAGAACCGTGTGAAAGTCAGAGCTGTCATTACTTATCTGCTCATAACACATCAATGCCAGTAATTGTCTGTCTGTTTATTTAAATTTATCAAAATATGTCTTTGAAATTAGTTGTTGATAATTTTTTCACCAAATGAAAAAGAGGTACCTGTGTGACAATGTCCAATCCCAACACAGCGTCATCCACGACTATGAAAGTCACAATGGTTTGCAGCACCAGAGCCACGAACGTGTTGATACCAAACGTCAGGGCGTAGCATTCCATGGACAGGTTTGAGGCGATCTGAAATCTGAAAATCATCTTCTTAGTATGAACTCTGACAAACCAAAATGTGAAAACACGTCCACTTACACAGCGATGGTGATGAGCAGCATGTAGCATGACTTGAATATGACATAACCAGCGTAGCAGGCCCATATGTTGCTGGTCAGTGCCATGAGAAAAACTGCCCCAGTCCCTGCAGCAGAGAACAGCCCTAAGGCCAGCTCGCCCCACACTGCCCACGTCACCTTTATATGACCCACACAGAACGCAGCTGCTGCCCCTGGACAAGAGAGAACAAGGACCTGGTTATTGTCATAGAGTAAACTTGTAGAGATGGTTACTCTTCACTGTAATTCAAGCCAAACCCTAACTCTGACGCTATAATAACATTCAAAACATTCTGCAATTTTACAATAATAATGATGGTGAAATGCATTGGTTTTATTAAGCGCTTTTTTGGAACTCAAAGACACCTCACATGAAATTATTCATTCTCTTCATACACAGGGGTAAAAAATTACCACTGTAGCCAAAGTGTTTTGCCTAAGGACACAACGCCAGTGAGTCACTTTACCACCAAAACTTCCCCATTGTGGCACCTGGTGTTCCCAGAGGTCTCCCATCGCAGTACTAACAAGGCACTACGCTAGGTCTGAGGGAATCTGGCTTTCACATGCAAGTAGCAAAAGATAAATATACCTTTTGAGTCACTATATCTACTTGAAGCATACTTGGAACTGAAATATACCTCTTTGGAGCATCTCACTTGGTTTTAGGCACTTTTATCATCAAATTGCATCTCAACCATTTGGTAAAGGCCTATAAATAAAAAAGAAGAGAAAAAAAATGAAAAAATAATATTAGTGCTCCTACAGAATACAAAAGGGGTATAAGAACTTAACTCTGTCAGTAACTGCATTGGTAGAGTACTGGTCTTTGGACCTTTTGGTTGTGGGTTCAATCCCACCACGACCCATGTCATCTGCTCCCACTGATGTCTGCTGTTGTTGTGTCCCTGGGCAAGACACTTAACCCCAAATTGCCTGAAGCCCCCGCTGAAAGACCCAGGCCAATATCTTCAATGACGGAGAAGCCATCATCCTGTGGACCCACCACCTACAGAGGATCAGCGGGGGACTGGTGCTGTGAGACTTGGGTAGCAGCTCTGATTCCCACCCCCCGACCCAGACATGGATTAATAAAAATAAAAGGGAAGACGATGACGTGATGACATGACTTCTTCAGTGCTATTGTTTTATCATTTATTAATGTAGAATCATAACTGCCCCAGACAAGAAAAGAAGCCACATAAAGCTAATGTCCATGTCAACTACTAACACAGCAGAATCCAGAACAGAAATGTTATGAAACAGCTACAAACACATCCATACTTTTGCTGCCTCTGCCACTGGGACAGGTCCTCTTTGTAAAAATGAGGATTTGCAGGTGTTTTGAGATGACGTAGACGTACCAGCCAGACAGCTGACAGCCTCTACAGCCCCGTTGTAGGTGGAGGAGGCGTCGGAGGGCTCGATGTGGTTCCACAGGAGCTGGGCGTAGTTGAAGATCTGTGTGTAGCCAGCAGTCGCCATGGCCCACCACAGTGACCAGCAGATCAGCCGACTGCCAACACATGCACACAATCAGGACATGCATGCAGTTAAATGACTGCTTCAAAATGGCACTAACTTTGTAAAAAGAGATCAAACATACAATTTTACCAAATGGTTTTGCATACATATCTGTGAAATTATTGTAAAAAAAGCAAAAAAGGTATTACACAAGGGTAACAAATAAATTAAATCAAATTAAAATTATTTTTGTAAAGCCCTAAAGCACAACAGCAGTAGTCTTAGAAGTCTTTAAAAAGTTGTCGATTCCTGAACAACAGATCAGAGAATCAACATAACAAACACACAGGAGCCATTGGTCCATGTAAGCGGCAGTACAATACAGAAATACAGTAAGTAAGTTGTAGTAGTAAGTAATCTTTATTTATATACCGCCTTTTCACTGCACATCGGAGTCTCAAAGCGGTTTACAATTGTTATTTTTGGGAGCGGGGTCACCAGTACAGGAGGCACATGCCAGACCTATTGTACATATTTTTAGTGGTAGGGGAAACCGGAGCACCCGGAGGAAACCTACGCAGGCAGTAGATCCATCATCCTCAAAAGTATTAATTATATGAAGTGATTATAAATAAGAATCAAACGAGGGGTTAGAGTCATTCGACGTGTAAACATCCAGATCTGGGGATGATATACTGTATATACTTACATCTGGGACAGTTGTGTTTGTTTTGCTGTATTTATATAGCATATTGTATGTACTGTTTTGATCAGAGTAAAAAAATCTAAATGTGTAATTCTGAAGATGTAATGAAGATGTGAAAATATGACACAAAGCCATGAAGTCAGAAAAAATGGCCCTACCTTGAAGAGTAGGACTCCTTAAAACTCTGCAGGAGCAAACGTCCTGCTCTGATCACATTTTTACAACTGCACCATTGAAAGTCCTCCTCTTTGTCTGTGGCAGAGGCCCCTTTGAAGAACAAGCTCGTCTTGGGCATCGGTAAACATAAAGCGATGAGGAACGCCACCATCTCAAGACCAAGCGTAATGGCGTTGAGGTAGAAGTAGTCCAGACCTATTTGTCACAGAGATGCAGATATGGTTCTTTGGCTAGGTTTAAACAATAAGATGAATGTGACTTGTTTTCATTACCAGCAACAGAGACTAGCAACTGTCCCAGAGATGCTGCAAAAGTGTACCCGACCAGCATGGCCCCCCGTAGGTACCCCGTGGCTCTCTGGTAATTTTCTATCGGTATCATGCTGTATATATATGAAAAGTACGCCACTTCTGTTGAGGTCACCACTGCATAGTTCACCTGTAAAGGGAATAAGAATGTGGGTGAATGTCAGTGTTAACCCTTGTATTATGTTAAGGGTCAATTTGACCCATTTCAGTTTTTGTGTTGATCAAAGTACTGGTTATCCTTTCTTTTTCTTGCTGAAATTTGGTGACTTTTCCTCATCTAGGGTCATGAACTGGTGTGTAAAATCTGGACACTTTGATGTGTAGTGGAATGTCTGTGCAGAGTTTGTATACAAAGATGATGTTGCGGGTCATTTTGACCGAGACGCTTTAATGTGGGTAAATAGTTGTTCAGATCCAAAAAAACATGTCTCTTTGACATCGTATTTTGATTGCCTCTGAGAGCCAGAGCCAGGTGTGTGAAGAGAGGGAACTTTTTCACACTTGTCCTTGTCACTGTTCTCATGTCATCTCTTTTGCCTAGCGTACATCGGAATGGCAACTGATTATATCCGTGGCCTATGAGTTGATGCCCCGCACACATCTACAATGTGGCAAAAACGGGCAACTCCTAGTAGCGCGTACATCGACAGCAACTGGCCGTCAACGAAAGTGTTTTTTTTTTACATAAACTGTAGAGAGCGCGCAATACACACAATACACACATGTTGTTGGAGCGTGCACATCGGGTGATATCTCCGGATCTGAGGACAACTAGTTGCCGAAAAGTAGAACACGGGCAACTGACTGAATCCGGAGATCGACTGTTTATCTCCAGTTGTAAGAGCGCTCACATCGACCGATTTCATCTGATCATCTCCATCATCTACTCTAAGTTGCCAAAAGCCGCCTTGCAACTAGTTGTCTCTAGTTACTCTGTCGATGTACGCTAGGCTTTATACAAACTCACCAAAAATGAGCTCCAGAAGGATGATATCTGAGGAGGCTTTATCACAGATTTTTAACTGGGATAATGATGTAGGAAGAGATTTCAGAAACAAAGGATTTTTCAGAGACAGAGGACAATGTTATTGCTGATCCAGATTGTCAATTTTCCTACGATAAGGAGGATTCAGAGGACAAATCTTTGGTCAAGGAAGGAGGAAAGAAGGGAATAGAGGATGAACAGAGAGAAGGAAAACAGGATGAGAAGACGGAAGGAGAAAGCATGGCAGGAGGAAAGAAGGAGGGAAGAATTGTCATTTTGACCCGAGAGAAGGACAAGAAGATTAGACTAAATATTTCTTAAATATAGTGTTGGAATTAAAAATGTATTGTATGTCACTTTTCTAAATATTTATATAACCTAAAATAAAGTTGTTATTGGTTTAACCTGTTTTCTTGACTGTTTTGAGTGCATTTACACAGTAAGGGTCAAAATGACCCGCAACATAATCAATGTCATTTTTTTTCAACATAATACAAGGGTTAAGGAGAACACTTTGAACATACTTACAGAATACAGAAGGCCTACTTAAACAGTATTAGTAATAACCATGGCCAATCAGAGTACTGATATGGGTTTGCTCATTTGCATAATAGTCTGCAATGGGTTAAAACAATGCATTTCTGTTGTTAATCAGAAAAGAACATAACAAATGCTAAAAGCGTCAATAATTCTAATGTAAAATCCTGTCAAAACTGCATTTTCCTTTGAATTGAACTATTACTGTATTATAAATATTGACTCAAAAATAGTATTCTGAATATGTACTCACAAGTATTCTGTAACGCCACAACACTGACAACACTGGTCATTATTGTTACGCAATATTTACAAATTCATTATTTCATTTAAGCTGGAGTATGTAACTTTGAAACCACAAAACATGTATAATGTTATAAAATCTTTTTCAGCTATGACAGTGAAAATGAAAATACTCTCAGATAAAAATGCTTTCTAATAAGATAAAGAAATCATAAAGAAAGCATGTCGTGGTCTGACGTGTTCACCTACAGTATATTCCATGAACAAGACTTATTCTGTTGGGACAAACTAAATGTATTTATGAAACAAAATGTTTGGTACTATTGGGATCTATTATGGGTACTCCAGCTGTAATTGGTGTTTATAGTTGTCAATTTGTTTTTGCCCATAACCATAACTAATGAGCGCTGACTCACCTGTAGAAAGACCATAGCAGCTAATCCTGGAACAAAACAGAGCAGCACATAGTTGGAGACCAGAAAGAGTCCTTGGACTACAATAACAGGCTTGTGTTTTAAGAAATCCGTCAGCAAGAACACGGGCAGAAGGAAACTCAGGTAAGAGTAGGTCCATATGGGAAACAGGTAGTTGGTCACCTGCAAAACACAATCACAGTCACAAACATGACAACACATAACACACTTTTAGCCACCCTTACCACTTCTTCAGAAATGTTCTTGTATGGTCCGATCAGGTATGGCGTCAGGAAGGGCTCTGCTACTCTACTAGAACCAAAGAACCCATAGAGACATAGAAGAGCAGTAGGATAAGCCCAATTGGAGGACCGAAGCTTGTTCCAAAGACTCATACTTGACATTGAATACGGAACCAAAAGTCTGCCTGTCCGGTGGGCTCTGGTCATCAGTCAGGTGTCTTCAGTTTTCATGGGTTTCAGTAGCCAGAATAAGCAGATTACATTTACGACCTTAAGAGCAGACTTTGTCCTGTTAAAAGCAGATAAGTGACCATCTGGGATTTGTTGTGAAAAATGTGTTAAGAAACGGGTTTAAAGGTGCAATATAATATAATATAACTGCCTCTCTCCAAGGTCTCTGTGGCCGTTAAACAACAGAATAATATCAAATCTGGGAAGAGTATCAGATGAAAACTCAGATAATGATAATACATACTACAATACATACGTGTTGTCAATTGTATCAAAAATAAATTATGAATATTAATCCACACCAAAACTAGATTCCAAACTAGAGACACATTTAAGAAAGTAAAAACTGAACAAACATTTACTTATTTATTTATATAACCTTTATTTAACCAGGAAGTCCCTTGAGATAAAATCACTTTTATGAGGGACACCTGGCCAAGTTCATCTTGGTAACAAATAACATACATACACAAGCACAAACAAAGACATTAAAAAAATACATTAAATTGGTTACAATATCCAGCTCAAGAGAAACATCTGCGCATTTCAGTCAATCTCTCCTTCAATAGAAATGTAAATGAAACTAGGGGACAAAGTTCTTTTAGCTGCAACACATTTTGGATGTTGTTCCAAGCCCATGGTGCTGCATAGGAAAAAGCCAATCTGCCCAGTTCAAAAACAAATAGAGAAGGAACAACATTTGGATTCTATGAGCAGTTGATGTAATATAGATCATCATCCACATTCTACCTTCAGACCCCTCAGATTTATGCAGTGTTTTACAAGAACATTTTAGTGGTACAAAATTCATGATAAAAAAGCAGCTCCTCACTGTGGTATTGAGTGTAATTCTTAGTATCAGAGTTTGTAGTTATCAGAGGTGTCTATACTGTCCTCAGTGTTGTCCCAAGCCACGTCAAAAGCATTTGTCCCACTTTTGTTTTAAATAAGACATGGCCTTTTTATTGTTGTTGTTATTACCATATCACGTTTTTGCTAAGATGGTGAGAAGCGATAAGTGATTGTAAAATGCATACAAAGACGGACAGACCTGTTTCCAGCGCTCTGGCTGACGTTGGTCTGCTTCATGTCTGCCTGCAAAAAGCTACTTGAATTGATTATTATCCATAGTGAAAGTAATTGTTCACAAACGCACCGACAGACATTCGTCATCCACAAATGACAGACTTGAATAGATTAAAATGTGGCTGCATTTGAATATTCACAAATGATTTGCGTGTCTAGCAAAGAGCCCAAAGTGGAACCAACAAGAGCCTCATTTAACTTCTGTGTTGCTAAAGGCATTATTTTTTACCATATCGTAATTTGACCCTAACCCAAAACATCCAAGTTGTTAATAAAAAATAATAAAAAATTAATTTAATTTCACATTTGGTTGACCTCAAAAGTATGTGCGTAAAGAAGTTCACGCATGCGTTGTTGAGTCGCGGCTGGACTGCGTCACCATAGCAACCACTTGTTTACAGACAGCCCCAAAAACTCGGGCGCTAGCTTAACGCTACAGTTTGCAAAATGAAGCTGAAACGCTTCTGCCTCAGATATTACCCACCAGGTAAATATATATTTAAACTATATCTACTTTTATAACAGTGACTATCGTGCTCCAGCAAAACTTGTTACTGTATTTAGCTAGCCAGTTTAGAGTTAAATTGCTTTTGATAGTAACTAGGTTAGTGAAATGAAAATGAAATACTTTAAATTGAAATAAGAATGATAGGATTAGCTAACATAATGTTTCTCCTTCAAACAGGTATAATTATAGAATATGAAAGAGGAGGGCGACTGAGTACAAAGTCTATAGATCTGTTGGAATTAACGTCAGAGTGCGTGAGTTTTTATTACTTTTCCAGTTTCTAACCATAATATCACTCTTAAAAAACGTTTTTTTTTGTTTCATTTCACATGGTGCTCATTGTCCGTTACTTGCGTGTTTTTACAGTCTATGGTTTTTGCAGGACAAATCCAGATGAGCTACTGGCAGAGATCGTGCAGTCAGAACCTTTGATCACAGAGCACTGGGCTGAGCAGCTTAAAGAAATGATCATTCGCCTTCAACAGAAGAAAACGCAGCAAAATCATCACAAGTTTTGCTTTGTCAAGGTCACGTTTTTACTTTACTCACACTATACTTATTACAATTGCATTTGAAATAATTAAATGATGATATTCTTATCCACAGGAGCTTACTGCTCACTTACTACCTCTAACAAATATTGCATTTAACAAGTCTGGATCTAAGTAAATACCAATCAATTCATTTTGGATTGCTTTATTTGTGAATATAAATAACATTATTTTTCACATTTCCCTTCTGCAGGTTCATTACTGGGAGCTATGACAGAACATGTAAAGTTTGGGACACGGCGTCTGGAACATGCCTTCTTACTCTCGAGTCTCACCAAAGTGTGGTCTATTCAATTGCCTTCAACAACCCTTTTGGGTAAATATGCATTTTCAGTTCTCCTTTGATAACTTTTAAATATAAATTAATATCATTGTTTTAGTAGTGTGTATTTATAATGTTTTCATTTTTCTATTAAAAGTGACAAGATTGCCACTGGTTCTTTTGACAAAACATGCAAACTGTGGTGTGCTGAGACCGGCCAGTGTTTCCATACATTTAAAGGGCATACAGCAGAAATAGTATGCGTGGTATTTTATTTATTTGTAATTATTTGCATTATCTTGACAAATGTTTCTGGTGATTTTTGTGTCATTGAGTTTGAGACAAAATTCTGTATGTTGTAGATTTGCTTGACATTCAACCCTCAGAGCACATTAGTGGCCACTGGCAGCATGGACAATACTGCAAAACTGTGGGATGTGGAGACTGGCGAGGAGCTGGTCACACTGACTGTGAGTGTTGTTTTTCTTATCTCAGTATGTAGCTACAGATTTGTTGGATAATCTTATCGCTTTTGAAATATGGACCAATTGACTTTGAGTCTAAAATAGATAGAAAACAATCAAAATCAATTGAATGACAAGATCGTTTTTTATATATATATATATATATTTTTTTTTTTCTAATATGTTTTAGGCTCATAAAGCAGAGGTCTTGTGTGTTTGCTTTAACACTGTGGGAAACCAGCTCATCACAGGCTCCTTTGATCACAAAGTGGTTATATGGGAGGTTCCCTCTGGAAGGTGAGACATCATTATGACACTTATCGTATAGATTGGAGGCAAAGAGTACATCTGTATATGTCATAGTTGTTTCGTATCTCCCTAAAGGCTCGTCCACACTCTGCAGGACCATCTTGCAGAAATAAGCAATGTTCAGTTTAACTGGGATTGCTCACTTATTGTTTCAGCTTCTATGGACCATACCTGCAAGGTACTGTATGTGTTTAATGCTGAATTTGATCAACTTCTCGTCATTTGTTTTATCCAACCTGGTTGAAATGAATATTTATATTGTCTATACAGAACAGTTTTGTCATGTATTTGTGTTGCAGCTGTGGGAGGCCTCCAGTGGGAAGTGCCTGGCCACACTGGAAGGGCACAAAGAAGAGCTGCTGGATGCATGCTTTGATTTAACTGGTCAGCTGGTCGCTACAGCCTCTGCAGATGGTGAGTCTTGTAACATGGTTACTCCTGAGTGGATGGTATACTGAGTATTGAAACTGTTATTTACCGGCACGGTGGCTGAGTGGATAGCACTCTCGCCTCTCAGCAAGAAGGTCCTGGGTTCGAATCCCGGTTGGACCAGGGCCTTTCTGAGTGGAGTTTGCATGTTCTCCCCGTGTCTGCATAGGTTTCCTCCGGATGCTCTGGTTTCCCCTACCACTAAAAATATGTACAATAGGTCTGGCATGTGCCTCCTGTACTGGCACCCCCACCCCAAAAAAAAATCACAATTGTAAACCGCTTTGAGACTCCGATGTGCAGTGAAAAGGCGGTATATAAATAAAGATTACTTACTACTACTACTACTGTTATTCCTGTCTCAGGCACAGCACAAGTATTTAGTGCAGATACGTACAAACATCTTTTGACCCTGAAGGGCCATGAGGGTGAGATCTCAAAGGTAAGATTATATACTCTTATTAGATCATTATTTACCTGAATCTGTCTGAAATAGTAATCCTCCATCTTTCTGGAGCCTGTATTTCCATCAAACATCTATAATGTGCTCTGGACTGTCCTTGTGCAGGTGTGCTTCAACCCTCAGAGCACCCGTCTGCTCACGGCCAGCTCTGACCACACCGCTCGTCTGTGGGACATCAGGACTGGAGAGTGTCTGCAGGTGTTGAGAGGTCACACTGATGAGATCTTCTCCTGTGCTTTCAACTATGAGGGAGACATCATTATCACAGGTGCACTGAGGAAACACTCACAGTTCACAGTATCGACAGCAGGGGTCGCTCACACACACACTCAGGGTTCTGTATACTGTAGTTGTGTCCTGGGATGAGAAACTTATTACTGAAATGTGCAATATTCTTCAAATGAGTAAAGTGGTCATAGGAAGGATCTTTGATTAGCAATTAACAATATATTCATGTACTGTTTTACAGGCAGCAAGGACAACACATGTCGTCTCTGGTATTAACCTCTCATCAAATCTTTGAATGCTTTTGTAAACTGTGGTATATGCAAAATAAATGAGGATCAGTGTTCATACAGCGGTGTCTTACAGTGTTTCTTCTGACTCTATGTTTTATGTCACATTAGAACAAAACCAATTAAATGCTGCAGTATATTATTTATATTCATAAGTCCATGATTTAGAACCACTAACGGTAGAAACTGATTCATTTTGATTACATTTTTATTTTTGACCAATTCAACCATTTCTACAATAAAACCACAGCATCAAGCAACAACTGAATTGATATAAACCTTTCTGAGCCTTTACAGGTGAAACTTGGAACATTGGGGGAACTTTCAAAAGTCTTACTTCCTTTCAACTTACAATGTGCATCTGACAAACTCATTACAAGCAAAGCGAGATATATCAAGCCTTTATTTGTTAGAATATTGACAATTGCATCACAGCTTTAAAAAATCCACTTAAAATATCTCAGCAATTATTTTGAAAATGGACTGTAACCATGAACAATATAACAACGAGGCTTGGCATATGTAACTTTACATGTAATTCTGAGTTAAATTACAGAAATGAATTAACAATTGAACCATATTCTAATTTGCCTAACCTGAACAGTTCTCTAAGGACCATGGCTGCCAAAACAATAAATATATATAGAAATAAATTAATTAATTAATTTTAAAAAGATAAAATTTGCAAAGAAATGCATGCAATTATGAGAATAAGTGCATTTATTTCTGTGTTTATTTATTTATATATTTATTTATTCATATATTTATTTTTGTATTTATTTATACATTTTTTTCTCTATTTCTGTATTTATTTTTGTATTTATTTATTTATTTCTCTATTTATTTATTTATTTTTGCATTTATTTTTTTATTTCTCTATTTATTTATTTCTCTATTTATTTATTTATTTTTGCATTTATTTATTTATTTCTCCATTTATTTATTTATTTTTGCATTTATTTATTTATTTCTCTATTTATTTATTTTTTTCTGTATTTATTTCTGTATTTATTTCCGTATTTCTCTTAATGATATGCAAATCATGGGGTGGGCCGGGATGCCTCTGCTGTAAGCTCATTGGTTAATCTTTTTCCTTGCTCCATAGCTTGTCCAGCATAGGCGGTCATGTTGAGATCACCGTGTTCTCGCTATAGCCATGTCAGAACGAAAAAATAAGCCCAAACTCCACAACAAGTAACTATTTCCTCCCATGACACCGAGAGAGGGCACCGGTGGCATTTCATTCCTCTCTCTCTTTCTCAGGCACGGTTCCCTCTAACTGCGCTCGTGCGCAATTGCGCACGGCTCCCGTGTTGTCTGGGCACAAAATAAAACATAGCTGATATGATAGAGGAGTATTAACGATCATCTTCCACTCTGAGAGTCCACGATGTCGGCCTCTTTATGCTCATTTCCCTGTCCGGCTCGTGAGAGGCTTTTGGCAAAGGCAGTGACAGGTGCTCGTATGTATTTTACTACAAAGCGCTGAAGTCCGCCGAAAAACCCCGCGTTCGAAGTGTGTGTTTTACACTCAGACACTGGAGCTTTCAGTGAAGGCTGAGAGAGACTGAAAAGTGGACGCGGCCACAGCGCTGACCGAGCCATATTCATGGTACAAAAGGTGGCGCGATTGTGAACGGGAGTGTGGTGATCTCAACATGACCGCCTATGCTGGACAAGCTATGGAGCAAGGAAAAAGATTAACTAATGAGCTTACAGCAGAGGCATCCCGGGATCCTGAGGGAGGGTGGTGTCTTACATGAAATCCACCACATCAAACTGCCACATTAATGTTAATAGTTAATAGCTGCCCCTATCAGTTCAGGTTGGTCCCTTGATAAACAACTGGCAGGCATCCATAGGTGTGAGACTGGACGGACCAGGGGGGTGCGAGGCCCTACCGTGACACTTTATTTCACAGATCTGAGTAAAGTTTTCCCTGTTATAATATTTGACGTGAATTCAACACCGCTAATGCTAATGCTTTTATAATGTTTTTGATGTGGACACTCATACTGAACATTGGCGATAGCAGCACTTACACACCTGTCTCATTCTACGTCATGGTGCATAGTCCCTTAGCGGACTTCGCTAGTGGGATATCACGTGACCCCCAGGTCACAGATGCCAGAGAGATCAACAAAAAATGCACCAATCACTAGCGACCCTCCTCTATAAAGGCCCCTGCTCCATAGCCGCGCCCCCTCTTTCACTCTGGCGCCGATTGAGATCTACCACAGTACTTACTTCATTCTGAGAGATGTCTTCCGTTGTTCGTCCGAGTTCCCCTTTGCCCTCCGGCGTCGGACGTCGTCGTTGCCCGCGGAATGGGGTGACTGCGAGGATGGAGAGGCTTCGGAGATCGGCTCTCTCCTCACCCTGGACGAGGTGGTGTCGAACCCGGAGCCAGACCGCTTCCGCTGGACCATATGCCTGGGCTCTACTCCTCCGCGGCGGCCATCATGGATGCTCCTCTGCCACCACAGCCGATCCAGAGGGTGGAGGACTTCACCTCTGTGGGCGCCACCACTCGAGGGAGGAGGAGGATACAACCCACGTTGTGCCCTCGGATGGACCCGATCGTCCATTACGCGACACGTGAGTGGCCAAAGCCCCTAGCAGCCAAGAGGCCTGCTCTGGGGTACGGCATGTACTGCAGCGTGCAGGACTGGTCCTGGACCGGTGGTGTCCCGGACATCGAGGATTCAGTCCGCATGGCCCTGCAGCCCTCCGCATCCGTGTGGCCCGGCACCAGACCTCTCCTTCCCTCCGAGCGGGACAGGATGTCTTTGGCGATGCTGGATAGATGTTATGCCAATGCAGCACAGGTCGTCGCATTGGCTAACAACATGGCATTCATCACGGGGGCCCTGGATAGGTCGCTCTCCTCTGGCCAGGCGCTCAGTGGAGACCTCCTATCACAGGCGAAGACCACCTCGGCGGCGATCCTGCGCATGTGCCAGGCACTAGCCGTGGATGGTGGCCGTTCCATGGCTGCAGCCCAAGTCGGGGCCAGGCACCTTTGGCTTGGGCTGGCTAATATCAGGGAGGCAGAGAAGAGGCAGCTGCTGGACCTGCCCATCTCCCAGACGTCCCTCTTCGGCCCGGACATGCAGGCCCTGGTGGCGAGACTGGAGTCTGCAGCCAACGACTCGGCTAGGCTAGCCCCGCACCTAGCACCGAGGCGCGAGGCCCACCAACCATCACGGAGCCGGGACAGAGGCAGAGAGCGTTCGCCCGGGAGACGTCCTGACCCGTATCCGCGCTCTGTTGTCCATCGTCCCCCCTCGACGAGGCCCCCGGGTCCAGACAGACCCACGGGTGGCTCGCGGGAGCAACGCACCCACCGCCGGCCTCCCTATGGTAGAGGAGGCCCGGGTGGCAAGAATTCTTTCAATAAAGGCCGACCGGCATTTCATCAGTACTCGTTGTCTGAGGCTCATTTGGGGGTACGTAACATGTCTAATGTGAAATCTGATTGTGTTACTTCCTGGGCCCATAACGTTGCTTCGCTAGGCCTGCAGCCCCCAGAGCAGGGTTTGCAGTGCGCTACGCGAGCTACAAGCTCCGGCCCTCTGATCCATGCTATGCCCTCCCAGAGAGAGGTCAGGCGGAGGGATCTAGTGAGTAGCTGTGTGTGTGCTTCGGCCGAACGCGTGCTAGCCCCTCTGAGCTACAAGGCTAACACGGGGTTTCCCACTCCAGGGGCTCGCCCCCCCCTCCATGAGGCAAGAGCCAGGGGGGGGCGGAGCAGTCGAGTCACATGGCATGAGCAGACCCGTACTTATGACGTCGGGCCTGCAGGACACGTGACCGCCCCCGGCGCACACGGTATGACGCAGGCCCCCTGCCCTTTCGTCCACCCCCCTCCCTGCTAGGAACACCAGGAGAGGGTGGGGCTGTGACGTCTCGTGTTCCAGCTCCCGTTCCGCCCCTCACAGACTTCTACAGCATCTGGAGGGAGCAGGGCTTACTGACGGATCCGTGGCTGGAGAAGACATTGCGCAGGGGTTACGCACTGCAATTCCCCCGAAAGCCACCACCATTCCGAGGCGTACGGGCAGCACGTTCTCAGGTACGGGGGTCATTAGCGGCACTACAAGCGGAGGTCTCCTCTCTGCTGAGTCGAGGCGCAGCAGTAGAGGTAGACCCACAGGACGCCACCAGGGGGCTGTACTCCCCTTACTTCTTGGTGCCAAAGAAATCAGGCGGGGTGCGTCCCATTTTGGATCTGCGTTTCTGAACAAGTGCAGTTCCAAACGGCAGTTTCGGATGCTGTCCACAAAACAGCTCCTCGAGTGTGTCAGGCAGGGAGAGTGGATGTCCTCCATAGACCTGACAGACGCTTACTTTCACGTGCCAATAGTTCCGGAACACAGGAGGTTTCTGCGCTTCGCAGTGGGAGAGAGGAGTTACGAGTACTGCCGTCTCCCCTTCAGCTACGCGCTCGCGCCTCGGACCTTCTCAAAGTGCGTGGAGGCGGCACTGGAGCCGCTCAGACGCGCCGGGGTAAGAATATTAACCTATATAGACGATTGGTTAATACTGGCCTCATCCAGGGAAGTGGCCGTGAGTCACACGCACTGGGTCCTGTCCCACATACAGCGCCTGGGCTTTGTGGTGAACAGGGAGAAAAGCAGGCTGCAACCGGCTCAGCGCATGATCTATCTCGGCCTGCAGCTAGACTCTGTGACATTCCGTGCTGCTTTGTCCGAGGACAGACGGAGGAACATTACCCGTCTAGCCAGGGAGGTTCTGGCGGGCCCCAGGGTCCCCGCTCGGCGCCTCAGGTCCCTGCTGGGGATGATGGCGGCGGCTCATGCTGTGGCCTTCTCCACATGAGGAATTTTCCGAGGTGGTTCTCACGCCTCAGGCTTCACCCCTCCCGGACGGGGGGAGGCTTATCTGGGTTCCCCAAGTGGCAGCATCGGACATCAGGTTTTGGTTCACTCCGGGTCTATTGCGGGACGGAGTGACTCTGGCCTGCGC